AATAGGAAAGGTTTCTTAATTGGTTCTCTATTGAATGATTACACCAGGAAGCAGTGCTTTTCAGAAGCCTCAACTCGGCGACCAGCTGATCTGCTATCTTCATTCACCACAATTAAGACAGTCATGACTAATTTATATGATGGCCTTGCCGAAGTTCTTCTCGTACTTCTGAAAAATGCAGACACCCGTGAGAATGTTCTTGAGTATCTTGCATAGGTGATCGATAAAAACTCATCAAGGGCTCATATTCATGTATTTCCTTTGATCATTTGAGGTGAAAATAATGATGTCGCTTGTGACAAGATTGTAACTATGGCCAGCAAAACTACAAGCCAAGCAATTATTTATTTTTTGGTCTTGCCTGAAACCTTTTCCTAGTGATTTATCTTGTCAATTTTTAGTAAGAATTTTTTTGGACTCGTATAATATAAACATTTAGTCGCTCATTTGTAACTATGGTCACATCACATGTGCATCCTCTTTCATGTGAAGTTCGGATTCCGATCCAATTTTTTCGATTTTTTCTGGAAATTTCCAAAATTTTAATTATAATTACATTGTTTTTTTGTTTATAGGTCTTATATATGTTTTATTTCAGTACTCATATATTCATATGCTAAACATTGGAGTATATTAATTTAAGATTATTGGAAAGAAAAAAAATCTTGTTTTTCTCTAAAAAAATATATAATTTTTTCCAATAGATTAATTTTAACATAGGAGTATATTAATTTAAGACTATTGGCAAAAAATATATAGGCTTGTTTGGGTCAAATGTGTAAAATTAAATGACATGGTTCAAAGGGTAACAATTCCATGGTCACACAATAAGGGTAAATGCCATGATCACACACTGGATTAATAGTTGATCCAATAAAATTGATCATGGTTCAAAGGGTAACATTAAATCATACACTAGATTAATAGTTGATCCGATCAAATTGATAATGGTTCAAAGGGTAACAATTCCATGGTCACACACAAGGTAAATGCCATAATTACACACTAGATTAATAGTTGATCCAATAAAATTGATCATGGTTCAAATGATAAAATTAAATTCTATGGTCATACACTAAGGTTAAAATTAAATGCCAATTTCATGATGAGGGGTGCAAGTTATATTAAAATGTTAACATCAATTATGATAAAATCAATTTAACTTGCGACATATGTGATTAAATTATATGTATATGTGTGTATATATATATATATATGTGGAGAAATATACAATAAATTTATAACAATAGCGTTTAATATTATAATATCCTTCAAACAAAACCAAAAATGAAAAAACCATCTACAAGTGGTATTTTCGAACCCAAGGCTTCTCACTTGCAATTCTGTTAACAGACCACCATAGCAAGAGGAGTCCCTGTGTGATACCTCTCAACTGAACATATTTAATAAACTGATTTGAGGAGTTCGAAAAATATTATAAAAATCTTAGGGTGAAACCCTAATTTATATTTGTTTCCTTTCTTTCTTTTCTCCAGCCGCCACACTCTTTTTCCTCTTCCTCCATACGGACGTTTCTTCTCACTTCTCATCTCTCTCTCTCGCCTTCCCGACCGTTCTTCTTCCTTATTCTGTTCCTCTCTCTCTCTCTCTCTCTCTCTTCGTGACCATATTTCCTCCTCTTCGCGGCAAAACGACAATCCAGATGGAAATGGAGCGTTCAGCGGAGATCCAGCGGAGGAGATAACGGCGGAGATCATCAGACACTTCTCTTCTGTGATCTCCGCTTTGATCTCCTCCGCTGGGATCTGCGCTGAACGCTTCATTTCCAGAAGCCTCAACTCGGGGACCAGCTGATCTGCTATCTTCGTTCACCACAATTAAGACAGTCATGACTAATTTATATGATGGCCTTGCCGAAGTTCTTATCGTACTTCTGAAAAAAGTATCTTGCAGAGTTGATCAATAAAAACTCATCAAGGGCTCATATTCAGGTATTTCCTTTGATCATTTGAGGTGAAAATAATGATGTCGCTTGTGACAAGATTGTAACTATGGCCAGTAAAACTACAAGCCAATCATTAAGTGCTAATCATGATTGTAACTATGTCGATTGTAACCAAGATTGTAACTATCGCTTGTGACAAGAATTTTTTTGAACTCGTATGTTATAAAGACCTATTAAGTGCCGATCATATTATAGTTGAATGATTGTTGGGTGTCCATTCTGGTCCTTGGCATTTGCATTGTTTTTAAGGAAGCCTGTCTATGGTGGTTCTAGGCTCAGGTTGTTTTTAACCATTTAATGAAAGGATGAAAAATGCTTTCATCAAAAAAATGTATCATATGCCTTATTTTGATTTCCATTACAGATCCTTAAATCTGATTCTTGTCTTCAGGATGGTACACTTATACAGAGTGCTCTTTCTTTCTACCAATTGATGGTGGTGTGGCTAGTTCGCTTGGTTGGCGGATTTAAAATGCCTCTGCCCTCAACTTGCCCTACGGAGTTTGCTTCTATGCCAGAACATTTTGTGGAAGATGGAACATAACATAAGAATCATACAACAGAAGTAAGCAGGAAAGGAGAAAAAGAAACAATGAAGCATATAAATTCAGTTGTGCTTAGAAGCTGCTATTTCTTTTACCGATTGTTCAAAGCTTTTGTAATAAATAGCCTAGAATTCCTCCAGGTTTACAAAATTTGACACCAACTTTGATCCCAACATGACTAGAATTGAATTGAGAAGCATTCCTGTTACAGACTAATTGATCCTGCACAAGGTTAACAACCAAGCGGACCCAATTAGCAGGGGGAATTTCGCATGTTCCTCAACAGTAACCTAACTCAACATTAAGAAACAACAGAAGCAGACCCAATTAGTCGATCGAGTTTAACAATGAAAATCAAATGAGGATTTAATTTACATGTATATTTAATTTAGAGTATCCAATGGAAACAGATATGTATTCATCAATTAAGCAAGCTTAAAAGATCAAACAAACAATGCAAGTAGAACTGATCAATTAAGCAAGCCGAAAAGATCTCTCACCCATTCATTTTTTACTGTATTCATATCTTTTTATGATTCATGAATTCTCCCATTATGTGTAAACACTCTGTTCTCCGATTCATGTTTATATTTTTCATGTAGAGATATTTTTTCCGGTTAAAGATTTCATATTCTTCAATGTGGGGTGTATATTATTGTCTGTCAAAATATTTTAAGTTGGCCCATTGATTTGGGAGCTATCGGCCCAATATTGCAAACAAGTCGGCCCAATTTGCAAACAAGTCGACAGATAGATGAATGAAAAACTTACGCGCGGAGCCGATCGAGATAGATACTGTTTGCTTGCTTTTCTTCGTGATAATGCGGAGAGAGAGAGAGAGAGGTTAATTTAGGGTTTGTTATGTAGGATTTATATTTGTTGCATACTGCGTGTGCATGTCATGGTTCAATCTTAATTTGATTTGATTTTGGTGAGGCAGAGGAGAGAGGTGTGAAGGGATGTCGGTGAGAGGGAGGAAGATGAGGGAGGAGGGAAGGGAGTTGTTGACTGTAACAGTGCAAGGAGTTTAAAGAATTAAGAAAATTCGTTAAATGACGTGGCACATTCGTTATCGCTAGATAAATTTGGACGGTCAAGATGATAACAAATGCGTAGGAAAAAGGAGTTGGAGTCGCGTGTTGACGAACCGGAATTTAAGTAAGAATGGTAAATGACAAAGGGTAGTTTCGTAACTCTGGCAAACCCTAATTGATACTATATAAGCACACACCTATCTACCTCCGAACTTTACATTCTCTGTCTTCAGTTCATGTTTGTTTTCTTATTCTCTCGTTAGTTCATGTTCGTTATCTTTTGAATAGTCGGATGTATATAGAGTTTATGAGGGAAAGATGAAGTCTTTGAGTATCTTTCCCGATGATTTACTTTGAGGGAAAGATCTGTTCTCCGATTTGAGTTTATGTTTTCATATAGAGAGAATTTTTTCCGGTTAAAGATTTCATCTTTTTATGCATTAGAGATCTGTTCTCCGATTCATGCTTATGTTTTCATGTAGAGGTATTTTTAGGGTAAAATATTTAATCTTTTTCATAATCTAATACCTAAAAGATCTCTCACTCATTCATTTTCTACGGTATTCATATATTTTTTATGATTCATGGATTCTCCCATTATGTGTAAATACTCTGTTCTCCGATCTGCTCTCCGATTTGAGTTTATGTTCTCACTCATTCATATCTTTTTTATGATTCATGAATTCCCCAATTATGCGGAAATACTCTGTTCTCCGATCTGCTCTCCGATCTATCTTTCCCGATGATTCATGTTCTTTGGGATCTATCTATTTTATGAATTAGAGATCTGTTCTCCCATTCATGTTTATGTTTTCATGTAGAGGTAATTTTTTAGGGTTAAAGATTTCATCTTCTTCATAATCTCATACCTAAAAGATCTCTCACTCATTCATTTTCTACGGTATTCATATATTTTTTATGATTCATGGATTCTCCCATTATGTGTAAACACTCTGTTCTCCGATTCATGTTTATATTTTTTCCGGTTATAGATTTCATGTTCTTCAATGTTTCGGGTCTGTTAAAATATCCCAGAAGGGTTTAGGGTTTAGGGTTTAGGTGTGGGCTTATAACCTGAAAAACATTACGCTATCAAAACAAACTGTAAAATACCCACTTGAAAACTGAAGATCACCAATCTTGTCACCGGAGAGATTGACAAACTCTGCAGCACCCATTGCAGTGTGCGAAAAAACAACCACGCAGGCATTCAAAAATTCCGGAAACTCAAAGAGCCCGGGCAGCGGGTGTGGATTTATGAAAAAGAGGAGAGTAGAACTCCCAAATGGGGGAAAATCATAGCTCGCAGCTTTAAAGTTGCGAGCTATGGCTTTCCTCTATTTGACGATTGGGAGTGCTGCTCTTTTTTTTTTCATAAATCCACACCAGCTGCCCGGACTCTTTGAGTTCATGCAATTTTTGGATGCCTGCGTGGTTGTTTTTTCGCACACTGCAATGGGTGCTGCAGAGTTTGTCAATCTCTCCGGTGACAAGATCGGTGATCTTCAGTTTTCAAGTGGGTATTTTACAGTTTGTTTTGGTAGCGTAATGTGTGTTATTGAGAACTGTCTAATACCACACTATTTCGTATTTACAAGTTGACTACTTCGGCGTAGTGTCTTTGCAAAAATCTAAGTCATTGATTGAACTCAAAGGAGTGTGTGTAGGTGAAGGCTATCTGATGCGTGCACATCACAATTGGTGTGGCATCAACTAATAGGGAAAGTTTAAGGATAATAACACATCACAATGAATTGGCTGCAAACTCATTTCTATTATGTAATGCTATAATTGATCCCAATATATCGGCTAAAGTGAATTTCTTGGATAACAATTTAGTTCTCGAGGCTGCTACTTTTTGATTGCATTCAAAGTAATGTGCTGTTATTAAAGGTCCAACTAGATCGATCGGTTGATCATTGGTGGTAAACATATAGAATCTAACGGATGCCTTGAAATACAGAGTTATTTAGGTCTAAAAACATGAAAACGGGCCGATAAGAGACCCAGAAGTAGGCCCTATAACATGAAAACGGGCCGATGACATGCCCAAAAGTAAGCCCTATAACACAGAAAACGGGCCGATGACAGCCCCTGTAAAGTTTTTTTATCTTCCCTCTCAATTGATCTAAATTGTAGTATTTGTGCTGATTAGGGTTTGAAAAATGTTTTTGCAAAAGAATAAATATAAAGGGTTTAGGGTATGAAAAATAATTATAGAAACAATAAAAAAATGTTTTTGCGAACCACAATAATTATCCTCACAGCGATTGACATTGATTAACTTGAAAAAGTGTATATTAAAATATATTGAAAGTCAAGTTTAACTTCTGCATTTTTGAAGAAAGGAAATCATTTATACCATGTTCATCCACTATCAGAACAACACTGGAATTTCTGCTACTGCAGGCAGAGGATGGCCATTCCCAACCAGACTACCGTGTTTGAAAACAATTTTCTGAGTCATTATAGGATAAATATATATTAAATTAAGAATTTTGCGTAAAGATAATTATATCCGAAACCGTCTGAAATATAAAGAGTGGAATTTTACATAGGTTCCCAGCATTTGGCATGAAACTGTGTACAAATTCTTATAGCTTTCAGATAACCTTTCCACAGAAGCACCACTGTCAATGTGGCCATGTTGTTCATTTTAGATTTCCGTAGTTTCAACAAAGTCAACACCATTGTTCCACCTTTCAGGTCCACCAAGAAGCACAACATCCAAATGCATGGGGCAATATATATTTTGTCCAACTTTACCAATTGCTTATCAGTTTCTATTTCTGCTAGGTACAAGGTGTATTTTTTATTTTTATTTTTAAGTATAGCCGTTAAACTTACCAATATGCACATAGATGGCTCGTTAAACTTACTTTTCTCCTTTTGAAGAGAAAAACAAGCAAGCAAGTGTATGAGTCAATTTGCTTGTCTGCCTCGCTCCTTCTCAAGTTTGGTACTGTGGTTAGTGAATTAATTTGTCTTTGGTTGATTTAAAGAAACCGAACCATGCATGAAATTGGCAGATCTATCATAGATCATCTATGTGCATATTGTTTCCTTTGACATTGCATTATATACTCTCCTTCTTTTTGAGTTAGTAGTTTGTTTGTTTTTCTTTCTCTCTTTATTGTTAAATAGGAAAGGTTTCTTAATCGGTTCCCTATTGAATGATTACACAAGGCATCAGTGCTTTTCAAAAGCCTCAACTCGGCAACCAGCTGATCTGCTCTCTTCATTCACCACAATTAAGACAGTCATGACTAATTTATATGATGGGCTTGCCGAAGTTCTTCTCGTACTTCCGAAAAATGCAAACACCCGTGAGAATGTTCTTGGGTATCTCGCAGAGGTGATCAACAAAAACTCATCAAGGGCTCATATTCAGGTATTTCCTTTGATCATTTGAGGTGAAAATAATGAAGTCGCTTGTGACGAGATTGTAACTTTGGCCAGACAATTATTTATTTTTTGGTCTTGCCTGAAACCTTTTCCTAGTGATTTATCTTGTCAATTTTTAGTAAGAATTTTTTTGGACTGATATGTTATAAACATTTAATCATTTGTAACTATGGTCACAGGTGGATCCTCTTTCATGTGCAAGTTCAGGCATGTTTGTCAATCTCAGTGCTGTCATGCTTCATCTTTGCGAGCCGTTTTCAGATGCAAACTTAACAAAAAGGGGCAAAATTGATCCAAAATATGTATTTTGCAGTAACCGTCTGGAGTTAAGGTGAGGTCATTTTGATTAGCGGACATATATTTTCTCTTCTGATCTCTTGTCAAGATTTTGCAAATGCTAACCATTGTTTATGGCCTGTATTAGAGGGTTGACTGAGCTACATGCATCATCTGAAGAAGTTACTTAATGGATTAACAAAGATGACTGGCCTTGCATGTTTTTGAGTGTGGAGAGAGTGTCCTTAGACCTTGAAATATCCTGGATTAAGTATTTTTAACATATAAGTTTTCCACCCATCATTTACATATAACAATATGGGGAATCCTGATGGCTCTAGACACAGTGGTGATGGTGAAAATCGCCTTTTACAATCTCAAGAAGCCACCAGTTCTGGAAATAGTTTCAACGTGAACCCAAGCAATGCAAAAGCTAAATATTCATTTATTTGTGAATGCTTCTTCATGACTGCAAGGGTGCTCAATCTGGGTTTGCTTAGTAACATCTTATTGCGTGCTATTTCATGATTTAGGCAATTGGTGTACTTCATGAACTTTGTTTTTCTTTACAAATTGTTATATGTAAATGATGGGTGGAAAACTGATATGTTAAAAAATACTTAATCCAAGATATTTCAAGGTCTGAAGACACTCTCTCCACACTCAAAAACGTGCAAGGCCAGTCATCTTCTAAACAGTTAGAGATGGATATAGCTCGCCTTGCGAAAGAAATAGAGTTGTATTCACAGGAAAAGCTTTGTTAATTATGAAGCTCAAATACTAAGGGTATGTCCGAACTCTGTGCGCTCGTTTGTGTTTGTGTGTGTTTGCATGTGCATATTGTGGGGTCATACACTTTTTTTAAAGTTCTTGTGGGGTTATACGTGGTTTTCCTAACCTTTTAGACTTAACCTTGTCTTTATTTTCGCACGGGTGTTGAGGCATGGAGACCTATTAAGTGCTAATCATATTATAGCTGAACGATGGTTGGGTGTCCATTCTAGTCCTTGGCATTTGCATTATTTTTAAGGAAGCCTGTCTATGGTGGTTCTAGGCTCAGGTTGTTTTTAACCATTTAATGAAAGGATAAAAAATGCTTTCATCAATAAAATGTATCATATGCACTTTATTCATCTGATGTGTATGTTGGTTATTGCTTTTTAGTAGCCTTATATTTTGATTTCCAATATAGATTCTTAAATCTGATTCTCGTCTTCAGGATGCTACACTTATACACAGTGCTCTTTCTTTCTACCGATTGACGGTGGTGTGGCTAGTTCGCTTGTTTGGCGGATTTAAAATGCCTCTGCCCTCAACTTGCCCTACAGAAGTTGATTGCGTAGGGTGGTTTACGCCGAAAAATAGATTGATTGAAATCATTTGTTTCGAATTTGATTGCGTAGGGTGGTTCAGAGATAATTGATTCTTGTATCTTTATTTCAGCTGCAACAAAAAATGTGTCATTGTTGAATTGAAGTTTACGTCATATAGCAACTTTTGTCAATGGTTTTGGACTGGTTAAAATGAAGAGGGTTTCAGATTGAGATTGAGGTTAAAAATGAATGAATGGATGTGCAGCAGGATATTGTTGCCAAAATTTGGAGAGTGGGATGTGAATAACCCTGCATCAGCTGAAGGTTTTACTGTGATATTTACCAAAGCTAGAGACCAGAAGATGTCCAGTGGGGCTCCTGGGACTGGAACACCTTCATCTAAACCAGAACCCAACTCTCAATATCCCCCAGAGGTAACAACATTCATTCATTTCAACCAAATTACCCTTACTTTGATTCATTCATTCTATTCGTTCTTCGCGTAACTCTCGGGAATTATACATACATCGATTAATTTGACTGCAGAAAAAGTGGTTTTGCTGCATGTGAAGCTCTCCTGGCTTCGGTGGAGTGAGAATCTGAGATGTTGTAATTGGAGCATTGTGGCATATCATCACAAATTATTAATCCATCCATGCGTGCACTGCAACTTAGTCTGATGGCAAAGGACCAAGGAATTTGTGGTTTCCTTCCTTCCCTCTCTGTCTCTCTCTGTGATTGTTCCTTGTTAATCCCCCTTAATTCAATGTCCCCATATTTTTGTATAGTATAAAACGTTATCTCAATTTTAGGAAAACTAAAAATTTTCAACATGACAGCATGTTTTCACCATTCTTTGTATGTGTTCAGGGCATAGAGTTTCTTTCTAGCAAAGATGGCCAATTTGGATTTTACTAGCATGGCAAGATCCATCGATCGCTGTTCGTACTTTTTGTTTTTACACTTAAATTTCCTCTGCTTGAATCTAAGATGCAAAACCATCAAATTTCTGTCATGAAATAGAAGCGAGCGATCAATGCAGAACAAGAAGAAGATTAATGTACGAACCAAATTAACTAGAGCTTAAACATCGTTTGTTGGTACCTGCTACTACATAAACAAAGAATCTAGAAACTAACTAGAATATCTAAACACGGCAACAGTATGACCAAATCGAATTAAACATCAACAATCAACATCCTAATTAACATTACACAAACGAATGAAACATGTCAACTAGAAGAGAAGACATGCAACATAGGACACAACCGAACAAAGACTGAAAAAACCGCAGCACGAGAGCCAGAAGATCTGCGGTCTCTGGAAGGAGATTCCTCCAAGGACATCACCTTAACGATCATGCGCTGTCCTCTCTGGCAATGCCCAGAAGCTCCACTGACGAAGTAGAAAGGGCCGGCGTGGTCAAACAGGTAAACTGTGTTTCCAGTGTTGGAGAAGAAGTGGGGGCGAGTTGAATTGCATTTCTTGAACTCTTCCTCTGTCACCTCCATAACAGAGTCCTTCTTGTACTTAAAACCTGCACCAAACCATATAATTATAAAACTATGAAACAGAAAAATAGCATGAAATGGCATGTGTTTATGCATCTACGTACTACTTGGAACCGGTTTCCGGAGGCCCAGTCGTTGTAGATTTTGCTGTCATTAGTAGGAGGCACAACCCAATCTTTGGTTCCACCTATTTGGAAATCAAAGGCGGAGACTGGGAAATGGCCAAAACAGATGAAAATGGTCAACAAAAACAGGGTTGCTCTGGCACAGTTCGTGTTGCAGTTTGCCATTTTGGGCAGCTTTTTCAACACAGAAGCTCTCGGAAGTCTCAAGGAGATGATGAATATCAGAGTGCAACAACTAACTGCAGGTGGAAATGGGGTTAATATAGTAGCTGTGGGACAGTTAGTTGCTACACTAACATAGGTGGTGGGAGGTTACGTGACCTGAGAAGCTGGGGCTTGCTTTGATACAGTCAATTACTAATTGGAATTTCTTTTATCTTTTGGTGAGCTAACTTTTAAGTTTGCACATTCAGAATTACGGTTGATCATGGGTCGTGACTTCAACAAACTTGAACATGGTGTGAAAATCAAAGGTTCCTAATCCCGGATAGCTTAGTTCTTTTTTGGCCAGAGCATTTTGTGGAAGATGCCATGGAATTGCTTATATTTGCTTCCCGAATTCCCAAAGCTTTGGATGGGGTCTTATTGGTAGGATTGTTACATTTATCCAAAAATATTCCTTTCATACTTCCTATAGGCTTATCTTCTTAGTTTTTCATTATTATTTTTTTTTCTATGCAGTATGATTTTATGAATTTCATTATATTGTCCATGGCAAGTCCATAATATATCAGGAACCCTCATCTAAGAGCAAAAATGCTTGGAAACAATGCTCAATTACTTTCTGAGATGGAAGAACACCACTGACCGCATTTTTTGTTTTTGAATTTATTTGAAGATTGTATACGTATATGTTCATTTGGCGAAGGGTGACACATAAAATATTTTTCTAGCTGCCATCTCAAAGGATGGTCAATCGTACAATGAGCAGGTACTTAAGATGAGGCAAAGCTTTACTTAACTTCTGTGCAATTATTATTATTATTCTGGTTTCTAGTTGTTTTCCAAGAACATCGTTATGTTTGAATGGAAGCAAACATGTGTCATTGGATATTTCTCCAGTTGTTTAGTGCTGCAGTGGATGTCCTAAGGAGAATTGGAGAAGATGGGAGGGTCATACAGGAATTTTTCTGAGGGCATGGACGCTGAAGCTGCTCTCGGGGACATACCAGATGAATTCCTTGATCCAATTCAGGTATTTTTTGTGTGTTTGTGGGTAGGTAATAGGTTGGAATGCGGCTTTGATTATAAATATTTGTATTTCCTTTCTTGCAGTACACTTTCATGAAGGATCCAGTTATCTTGTCATCCAAAGGCATCTTCTTAGTGATAACGTACATCATCAGCACTGCTAATTAATCTTGATCTTTTGAAATGCATCTCCTATTGTGTGCTAATCTATGTACTTCATGTGATTTGCCGTCGGATCCATTCAACCGCTCCCATCTAACGGCGGACATGCTATACCAGCAATGAATTGAAGGGAAGAATACAAGAGTTCATTAGGTCCCAAGAATTGAATAAGCACGGGGAAGACCTAAGCATGCAAAGCAGCAAGGCAACCATACAGACCGCAACTCGCGAAATGCTAATTGATTAGGAGGATATAGCCTTTGGTGGAAAGTAACAGTGGAGGAATTCTCCAATAGGTTATTGTAACTATAGGCCCTAGACTGGATTGGATTAACCTTTCTATACTAGACTAGACTGGTTGGGATAGGACTGGATTTTAAGCAGCTGTTTGGTGCAGTAACATCAAGATGAGATTCTCTAGACTAATACAAAATTTGCAGAAAAAAAAAATTACAAATAAATGTATAAAAATTATAATAATGCATACAAATCTACCCAATTCGCATATCCAAGAACAATCATAATTTTCACAAAATCGACACAAACAATGACATGCAAAATATTTCATTTACAAAAACAAAACAAAAGAAATATATTATTTGAGTTGAGATATGATACTGAACTACTAAGAAATCACAAGAAATGAAAACAAAAATATATCTCAACTCAATGTTTCCTTTAGATTTGTCTTTTCATCGCAATTTTTTCACAGGAAACAAACACACGCATAGAGAGAGAGAGAGAGAGAGAGAGAGAGAGAGCATACGCCAAGCGATTCTTATAATGGAAAAGCTTGGCCAGATCGACGGGAAGCGGAGAAGAGAGAAGGCGTCAAAACAGAGGAGGCACGCGCTCTCGCAAGACGACACGGCTTTTGAACCTACGTTTGGGCTTGGGTTTCATAACCTTAGTTATTTGGGGATCCAGAGCCCTATATCCAATCTGAAACACATTTAAGCCCACCAAACAATGGTTAGGATCCATGTCCATTTTAATTGAAAATATATCATCCAGTCCAGCTCACCAAATAGGGCCATAATATGTTATAATGTATTATTTAGCCCGCCAATGATCATATAAATGTTCTACTCGTCTTGTGGATAAAACTATAAAAAATTCGGTATAAGTCCAAAATCGAAAATGGAATTTGGATGCCATCCTCGTAGTTGTTGTTGTTGATACAAGTCCTTTGACTTTTGTGTCATGTATGATTACATTCCTTTTTTATTTTTTGATATTTACATATTATTTTTTTCATTTTAAAATTACTTAATTATTCCCATCATGCCCCTAAAAATTAAATAAGGTAATTAACTTTTAACCAGCGCAATCCACAGAACCTGGCAAGAGAAAGAGGTCGTGCAAGACGACAATATGCAAGCCTGAGGAGAATGTGGAATTGTCTTCTGGTCAGTTGATATGATATGATTCTCTCTCTCTTTCTTTTTTCTTTCTTTATTTTCCATTGGAACACCAGTTTGAGAATGCTATCAGTTTGTTTCCTGTCATTAAACTTCAGAGTCAAGACAGTGTTCTTGATTGTTTTGTGATTTGGGTCATGCTATAATATCGTAGTCAGTTGGCTTTTTAGATTTTGCGCCTTTAGCTCATCGCGGGTATTATAACTGAAAGCGATCATGTTCTTGGAGTTTCTTGTTTTCTCAACTTGGGATTTTTGTTTTTCAAATTTACCAGTTACCACCTTCTGTTATCTGGTTTCAATTGAAAATGACATCTTTTCTGAAATCCCAAGTTTCAATCTTTTCTGAAAATATTAAAAATATGGATTAGAACAAATGTGCAAAAATTTGCAATGTATTTCTAGGAGAATTGCTTAATGTATTTCTATACTATATAGTACTGCTTGTGCTTGGGAGAAACTCAGAAATTCTAGGCCTATGACAGCTTGGGCTGATCTGTCTGATGCGAATTAGCAACAATAATGTTGAGGGAGGAGCTTTCCATCCTTTAGTTAGCTAACAAAGGTAAGCAGGCAACTCTTGACAGGATCCTTGTCTAGTACTTACGAGCACTTGTATAGACTCCATAGGCTATTAGATTTTGGGTTTTGTGTCCGGTTTTGCTGGAATCGCATGAGCACTAATTCTTTGATTGCTCCTTTTATGATGATGATACATAGTACTCTAGAGTGCACGGTGAATATGGGATCACTTCTGGTCGCATCTTTGTTAATTGGGCTGCGGTGCTGCTCAATGGAAAGGTAAACAAGTGCATTATGTTATGTAGTAAAAAAGCTTTGCCTGGCTGGCTGGGATTGTGGATCATATCTGGAGGTGGAGAAATGATAGGATTTTGGGAATGAGAACAAAGCTTGTCATGGCTGTGCTGCTCAAATTGTGTGAGCCATTTATGCAGTAATCTTCCTGTAATTTTGAAAGCTGCTGGAGTCTTCCTTTGTGTCTGTTGTGTTTCCCTCTGCTCTGTGCAAGGCTTTGCATTGTGTCTACTCTGTTGTGTATACTACTTAATTAATTCTTATAGTGGAAGTGGTTATTTCTGTTTTATCACTTAGATCTTGTATTATATTAAGAAAAGGCACATAATCTCATCATTTGCAATTTGCAATTTGCACGAGAGGGGAATGCATCATGTATTAATTTGCACAACTGACTAGGCTTTTTGCCTATTAAAGTTACCATACCAACCCAATGGCGACTTTTTTTGAATTTACCAATTCCATTCCTGAATCCAATCTCGCATGCATTCCTCAGTTTCATGTCAAAAGATCATCTGAAGAAATCTACATTACAGAGGTAAGGCATGCATTCTTCCAGTATCATTGTTCAAACAATGATATATCCAGTATCACAGATTGCGAGCTAACCCAGAGGGTTAAGAGAGAAAGAGAGAGAGAGATGCAATTCATTTGTGTAAGCAAAAAATGAAATTTTGATGGATTTATCTGAATTAGTATTTGATTGTTATATTTGCCAAATCAGGAAAAGTCAAAGTAACAACAAAGTTCTTTAAATTGACTGATACTACTGAGACTTCAAGAGACACTCTTCAAGAATATATATATATATTAAGAATTTTGTAGTCAGGGTTCCAATTTCAGAGTCTGTTACAATTCAGAGCCTGTTTTTCAATTTTCTGAGTCATTGTGGGATAAATATATATCATATTAAGAATTTTGCATAAAGATAATTATATCAGAAACCGTCTGAAATATGAAGAGAGGAATTTTACATAGGTTCCCAGCATTTGGCATGAAATTCTGTACAAATTCTTATAACCTTTCCACGGAAGCACCATTGTCAATGTGACCATGTTGTTCATTTAAGATTTCCATAGTTTCAACAAAGTCAACACCATTGTTCCACTTTTCAGGTCCACCAAGAAGCACAACATCCAAATGCATCCCAGGGACAAGGTATATTTTGTCCAACTTTACCAGGAACAAGAAGGATGCCAAGTATTTGATGGCATATGAAGGTGTCGGTGTTGATGGAGGGAGGAGTAATGGCTTGGCTGTGTCTCAAGATGGGCTTGAGGGATTGGACAAGACATGGCTGTGTGCCTGTGTCTTCAGATTAATGTAGTTAAAACGAGGAAGCATGCATATAAATTATAATCTACCTCTCATACGTACTCTGTCAATGGAACTTGTCTCTCTCAATTTTCTGAGATCCTTCCTCTTTTCTCAAGACAGAACATAGATGAAAATAGGAACACACAATAAAGTTTCATTAGAGCCAACATCTAACAACTGCTTCACCTGATTGAACACTCACATCAACATGGTCAAAGGGTCTGGTGCTTGAGTTGGGTCACAAAGTGTCTTGGGACAGTGCAGAAGTTGGGTCACCAGTAGTGAAAAGGTTCATTGGGAACAATGAAGAAAGGTGGTGGTACATGTGGTACGTACCATGGAAGGTCTGTTGAAATGTAATCCTTCAGCTGCTTTCTTATAGCCGAAGTCACCAAGCATTATTAATTCGGTTAGAGAAGAATCACTCTTCTCTCTCAGCTACCGAGCACACTATGAAAGCCAACTGTTTGTGAAAATGCAATAGAACAGTCTCCTCTCATCTTTTCCTCTCCTTCTCTTGCAAAATCTTCAGATTACAAAACCTTCATAACCTAAAAATGCAAAACAACCATAGAATTCTAACAAGGTCGTCTAATTAATACCGATACTTCTGATTCCATTGGACTTGCAGTTTCAAGCAATGGGATTCAATGGGCTAGAGGAGCTGCACATGTCATGTCAAATGGAGAAGCCGATGGGTTGGTAATGAATTGCAGTGAAAACTGGTACTCACAGCATTAGGCCTTCGCATATGGTCATCATGTCCAATCCAATGCACAGCTCAGTCTACTGGCTTTACAATATGAACAAGTGGGTGAAATGCCTACGTAAGTCACTACCAGGGTTGGCTTGCAGCCAAGACGGTAGGAACTGGGCTAGAATTGAAGGGAATCATCACACTGGAGCTTTGCTAATGATCGGTGTCGTAGGTTCAGTTCAGCCACTGATTGGGATCCTCTATTTATTTCTTCACCTCAAGTTGTGGTGCATACTATACTAGTGACGATCTGAGAATGTATTACTATTCATTTGATGCGAAAATCAAATGCTTTGCTGTTGGGGTTACGAGATCCAGAGATGGGATCAGGTGGGTGAAGAGTTGGGGATGAAGAGTCAAAGAAGGGCCGGCTTTTCGGCCGTTCGATGAGAATTAATAATGTGCACAAGGTCCTAATAAAACAATGACATCTTTTTTATTATTACACTAATAATAATACAAAGAACAAGAAGGGTGTGTCAGTGATAATGTTTGGAAAATAAATAAATAATATTGAATAGCAAGCAGAGCAGCCCATGCCATGCATGGAAGCTAGCTAGCTAGGAACTCTATAATTGTGTTGTGAGACTTAAAATGACCTTTGATGCGCATAAGATCTCTTACCTATATCTTTCCCACGGGCATGCCAACAAGAAGCATATCTTATGGGGTGCGTCAAAGAATCAATCTTGTGCTGCATGCAATTTTTTCTTTCCATTGTTTTTTAGGGCTTTTTTTGTTTTTGTTTTTTTGGGTATTTTGCATGAGCATGCCTAGCTAGCTCGATCGGTATCAAATCATCACAGCTCCCTAATTAAGGGTAATCTCTCACCAAATCTGTATCATTTTAAGATTGAGCGATAGTGTTCTAATAAATTCATATTGATATATGAGAATTTGAAAGAAGAATCAGAGTGTAGGCTGCAGCAGCTATATAGCTAGGCATTTAAAAAGGCAAAAATACAAGTGACTAAATGATCAACTGTAACGGTGCCTTTTAGCCCATTCCATAAGCCTATAGGAGAGTAGAGGGCCCATTTCACACGTTTTTAAATCTTACATTACTTTAGAGTGTATATATGCAAAACTATGCATGATACTTTGTATATATATTGGTTCTCCAAAGTCCATACCTAATATTTCTTCTTCTACGATAATGTTACATGTGGAGTGTCCTTTGTCGCCAAACCTCTTGTACAAATTTATTTTCTCTTTATCCTCCTTACTACCATGTGCTGGTGATATGGAGATCAATATGTCAATTTCGTGAATGTCTACACCAATAGGCGTTGTTGGTCGCTGGCTAGCTAAATAGACTACCTTCTCAACTGCAAGCGGGAGAAGGAACCTTATCTCTGATAGAGCACTCCCCGTAAAACTCCTAGTAACATTTCTCAAATAGAAAATTAGTAATAAAATCATGAGGTTATTCAAACCACGTAAATGAAGAACCAATATGCAAATTAAAACTTACTTATTATGCACACAAAAAACAAAGAGAGGGATATACATATACATATATCGAAGTTGATTAATTATCAAGGAGTAAGTTATCGAATCTTCTTTGTTCCAATTTGAGCTACTTATCCTTTAATTTCGGAGGATCATTTTAAAAGAATTTGGCTAGCTAGCCATATATTCTGTGAATTGGACGACGAAATATTCAATGTTAAGAAATTGGACAATGGTTGAGAGAGAGAGAGAGAGAGAGAGAGAATATGCGTAATTTTTTAAGGTCTCTCCCATGTGGGTTGATACCCTAGAGAGATTAGCCAACCACCCTTAGGAAAAGTAAACCCAAAAGAAATCTTAAACACCCACCTAACTAGACATAAAAACCCAACCAAAATCACAAATTACAGATGAAGACGAAATAAAAGAAAAGCTAGCTTCACTCATTTCTTAATTTAATGTAACATATATTCCATTCCATGCCACATTAATTTCAGATCTATTAACATGCTAAATCGCATCAATCTAAGATGCTTATTCAAAATTCAGTTGTAATGCATCCAAAACATACAAAAATTTCTCCGGTATAGGCTATGCCATCATATATATAATTTGTGGAAGACAAATAAATTGAGCCATTGATTTTGTGTTTGGTCCGCCAATCAAGCAAGCGTGTTCCTCAGCACCCACCCCCATGTGCCCTTGGCTTTCCTTCCATAAAAATAAGCAAGGAAAAACTATGCCCATATTGTCACCCCTGTGGCATCCTCTCATTGGCCACCCACTCTTGTGAGTCTTTACTTTTTGCAACACACCTTCGGGCGGCTTGTACTTTAGCGATGCGCTTATTTATTTTGTCCTTGTCGAATGCTTGTTATATTATATAAGTAGCCAACCCCTTAGCATTTCAGCTGAGCTGAGTTGAGTTGAGTTGAGAGAGAAAGCAAAAGCTAAAGAGGTTAATTAAGAAAAAGCAGAGAGGAATTAATCAACATGATTAAGTTGAGGTCAAAGAGGTTTTGCAGAAGCTTTAGCAGCTGTAAGCTCATTAGCAGTAATAATAACAAGATTAAAGCTGCTGCTTCTGCTGATCAAAGTAAGGAGTTTGGAGGAGCCACTAATAACAATGGTGAAATCAAATGGGAGCTTCGACCAGGAGGCATGCTTGTTCAAAGGAGAGAGACTGCGGCTGAAAGCAGTGCTGGAGAGGTCTTGATCACAGTTAGAGTCTCAGCTGTGTCTCATTGCTATGACATCTCCATTGAAGCTACTTCAACATTTGGTAATGAAGCTCTTTCTCTCTCTCTCTCCCTCTCCTATGTGTATATATGCACAAAATTATGAGGAAATCAAGTAAACAAGTGGTAATTAGAATTGGGTTTTGATGAATTAATTTGTTAATATCTGCAGGCGAATTAAAGATGATATTGTCATTGGTGACTGGCATGGAGACAAGAGAGCAGAGGCTGCTTTACAAAGGGAAACAGAGAGAGGATGGTGAATATCTACACATGGTGGGTGTTAGAGACAAGGACAAAGTGCTTTTGCTCCAAGATCCAGCCATCAAGGCAATGAAGCTTCATGGAATCGGAACTTCTACGACGTGTCGTACGATTAGTGTATGAACGACTTGCTGATCTTTAATTAATCTCTGTTCATTAATTACTAACCAGTAAAAATTCAAAAAGTTTGTAAGTTTGGCTCAAATTAATTTGCCTTCCTCATGACCTTGGCTAGCTAGACATATATTATATTAAAAATGTTAGCTAATAGCTAGGGGACTTCTTGGTGTGTCCTTTTAAGCGTTGTAATGGCTGATGGAACGTAGTTTAGTTTGCCTTACATCTACTGTGTTTATAAAAATTAGGGTTGATTTCATGTTTCTATTTGGTTTTGTCCAAAGGGCAATCAAACTCAAAATTATGATGTTTTTTTTTCCTCTTTTTAAGTTTCAAATTCAATTGTAATATAAATTTCCCATGCGTGCACGCTGGCACAAAAAATTATGCAAAGCTATAGCTTAAAAAAAGTGCTTGTAAAGTTTGGACATTTTTAATTGCTGCAACCATTTGAAAGTTGAAAGTAAAAGCTATCTATATATCTAAGTTCATGATCAGTCTGGATTGGTTGAGCTCAAAGTGATTTCCATTTAGGACAATGCTAGGTATATTATATTTATATGCCGTATTGTGTACCCCCTCTCCAATATAAGTGGCATTACCCTTCCTTTTAATGCTTAGACCGAATTATAAATGCTTAAGAGTATACTAGTGATTTGCCCTCTGAACTTGTACCTAACTTTTAATTGACCCCCATCTTTTTTTTAGAAAATTAAGGATATGAATTTCTTTTTTTCGCCAATTTCCCTCATACCGTCTAAATTCTCAACATTTCATCCAATTTTCAATTAAATCATTTTTAAAAATTATTTTTTTGGAAAAAATTGAAGAAAATAAGTAAACCTAATGCCAACCCCTTCCATCTCCTCCCATTCCCCCATGACCACCATCCTTTACTCCCATACCAATCCCCTTCCCCCCCCACCTCCCCATTTTGTATTTTGGTCTCTTTTCTTTTTATTTTGGGGACGATTTAATTTGCGGTTTTTATATATATAATAAAGTAAAAAAGAAGTATAACTAAATCAACAATTCCTACATTTTTTTGGTATTATTATTTGCTCTCCTCCTGGTTTTTCTTCTCCTCCCATTCCCCCATGACCACCACCCTCCACTCCCAAACCAATCCCCCACCCCACAGACCCATGCCCTCACCTCATCCCTTCTATTTTTTAACCCCCTTTCCCCAGTCCGCCACCCCCCTCCCCTTCGGGTTTTCTTCGTCTACACCTGCACACGAAGAGAGAGAGAGAGAGAGAGAGAGAGAGAGAGAGAGAGAGAGAGTATTATTTGAATTTTCTGGTTTTCACTTTATTTATTATTTATTGTTAATGTATAAAATGACCATTTTGCCCTTATATTTAATGGCAAATTAGACGAAATGATGCAGATTTAGACGGTATGGGGGAAATTGGAGAAAAAAAGAAGTTCATATCCTTAATTTTCTTTATTAAAAAAAATATATGGTCAATTGAAAATTAGGTATAAGTTTATAGGGCCAATCACTAGTATGTCCAATGCTTAAAGCATAAAGTAATTATGATTAGATTAAAGAAGAGAGTGCTGGGTAAGGCCCATTCTATGGCTAATCTTTGTCGAGAATAAATAAAAAAACATTCTTTTTGTGCGAACTATGTATTGCAGTGCAGGGAAGCAACTTTCATAAGTTTTTGGCCTTTGGCAGGCAAGTGGCCGGCAGCCACCAGCAGAATGATTTCTAACTAAACATTGTTTACTTTGTTTTAGATGGGATTGTTACTGATTAGACAACGCCATTTGGTTTGGTCCATCCATGTCCCAATGCATTCATTCTGATTCATTCAACCAGAAACACAAACCAACCATCATTCAGTTCAAAGCAAAGAGGCTACGCACTCACTTTGATTTATATTATACAAATCAGACATGACACACATCAAACATTTATATATTGTCACATACTTAATTATTTGTGCAACTCTTGATTAATTAGCTTCAATCTGAATGACCCTTCTTGGAGGTTTCTGAACCTCATGCTTTAGAATTACAACACAAGTTCTAAATGTTGGGCTAGAATAGAAGGAATCATCTAATCTCAGTAAGCTAGGCTCATGCATCCCTGGCCCAAAGATAGATGGACGAAAACACGAGATAAGGCCCACGTCAATATAAATTTGGGGATTTTGCAATACGGTATGCGAACGATAACTAGTTGGTCTTAATTAACAACTCTGAATATTATGAGTTAAGCGCTACATTGACCTCAACCTGGGTGTCTCTTAAGATAATATCTTTTGCGTTTTCAACATTTTCATGATCAAGGCAATCTAACATGTATAGGTTTTATAAAGATGAGATCTCTCAAATCTCTGTTTGATTTTAATAAGAATTGGATGCATGAATGTCTTCCTATTTTTTTACTTTTCTCATAAGGTCAAATATGTGCTATCCTTGCTACATATATCTCATGATTATCCTCTAATGATTTTTTCTTTTCTTCTAAGTTTTAAATACAGTGCCACATAAACAATGATGTCATATATATCAGAGACTATAATAATATACAGTAACTTGGTCCTCTATATTAATATATTATAGAGTAAGTCAAGATGAATGGACAAGAAGCAACCTAGAAGACCCGTCATTGCTTCACTAACGTGATGTGGTTGTTATCATAAAGTAGAAAAAGATATTTTTGTGTTCCAATCAAAACGTTTAATCATCCACCGGTGTTCCTGGAAGACTAAGTCTTTGTTTATCCCAGAATCAAATTCCCAACAAAAAGACAAGGCGGCCGCCAGCAGCAGCCTTAGCTTCCATGGAAAAGCTTCAGAGGCTTAATTGGCAAAACGAGCACGATGTTGTGGTTGACAGAAGATAGAGAGCACAAATGAACATATACACCCAGTCACCCAGACCCAGGAAAATGATTGTGTATGATCAGTTTTGTGCTCTCTTTTCTTCTGTCAACATATTATATATTATGATCTTCCTGCAGTTCCAGTTCCAGATATATGCAGATATGCCCTTCGTTACCGATGCTATATATTCTTCTTATATAATATGATCTTCCAATGAAGGTAAGAGTTAGTGATTACATGTATATATATATATATAAAGTCTCATGATCTTAGTGATTACATGTTTATATAAGCTCAGATTAATAGCACAGAGCAGCAATTCTTTCTTGGCTCAAGCTCAAGGTACGCAATCAGATATTTTAATTTTATTTGTCTAGCTGCTTGTGCTTGGTGGTCACCATTAACATGGAACATGTACATGTAATGACAGCATGCTTACCCAAAAAGCTAGAGAAGTTAATTTTAAGGTGAAGCATGCGACTAGCTAGCTTAACATGACAGTTGAACAAATAATAAACTAACAAATTTCCGTCAGTGCAATGCAATGGATGATGGGGTTGGAGCTCAGCTGAGTCAAAACACAACACGTACGTTCTTGTTCTTGAGGAGCAGCAACGTTGTTTGAACTTTGCTACAGATAATGAATGCTGCTGCAAGGGGTTGCCAGATCTCTCTAGTTTGTTGGTTTTCATACTTTGGGAAATGTTGTCTTTGGATTCTATAACTATCAATTAATGGGGAGAGAGGCTTCTCCCCTTTTTCTATCGATCAATCTATCAATCAAGGCTTTTTCTTTTTCTTTTTCTTTTTCTTTTTTTGGTCGAAGATCAATCAAGGCTATATGTATATATATCACAGAGTTAGTCATTCAGTCACATGATCGGTTCACTGTTCATCCATCTTATCTTAATTGAATCTCTTCTTCTTGTTTCTTGCTCTTAACTCTCTTCTCTGGTGTGGACTGATTCATTGGGGAGTGTGCATGCATGCTAGCTATAGCTACAAGCCTACATCTATATCTATCTATAGGAGGACTGCACTTGCATCATACATCAACATAGACAGAACCTTATAAATTACAACCAACCAGAAGAATCCAGTTTATAAATTTGTTAGATTTTAAAAATAAAATAAAAAAACCAATTAATCAAATCATTTTGTTATTTTTTTTTCTTTCTTTTACATCTGAATTTGGCAATTGCATGCTTAGACAGCTACATATATAAACAACATTTCATTTATAGGTTAATGTCGCATTGGGATTGTGATGATCATATGTATATCTTTGTGTATGATACGATTTGATTTGTGCATACATATATATAAAAATATGCAAGAAACATATTCCTCTCTCTCTCTCTCTCTCTCTCGCAAGCGCAAGCGCAACGTAATTAACAATTAGGTAGCAAAATAGATTAGGAAGAGAAACAAAAAAGACATGCAGTGGTAATAGATAGTTGAAGCACCAAAAACCTATCTATCCTCTTGGAATCTAGCTAGCTAATATTCTGCATGTCGCTCGCTCGTATTCTCTACGCTTTGATTAGAACTTCAACTTCTCTTCTTCACGAATCGACCCTGCAGTTACGATACATTATGCAACAAATACTAAAATTAGTTATCCTAATTCCTAATTAATTTATAAGCGGAGGAGGAGGGAGTAGAGTATACCTTCATACGGGGTCGTTTTTCGGCATTGAGCTTTCGAACTTGGTATCGGATCCGCTTAGAGAAAAGCCTGTTTTGCCTTTTTTCCTTGTATCTCAATACACTCGCCTCTCTTTGAGTTTTCCCCATCTTCGTTTTCAGGCTCTCATCCTCTCCTCCTGGGACCCTCCATAAATTCCCATCACATCCCTCACCCTGAGCTCCATCCATGACAAATTTACACGTTACAACAACAACTTACAAACTGAAAATAATGTTTGGCAAGTTGGGGCATTGGCCCATATTGCCCATAGCTAGCCCCAGCTGGGCAATGTGCTGCACTGCACTAGGGTCCAAATTAAAATGCAACAGGTGGTAGGTTCCACTTCCATTCCATCCACCAAGCAAGTAAACCAAGCAAATTGGAAATGAAATGAATAATACTTAGATTCAATCAAAACGCAAAAAAGATATGAATTAATGCATCACATTAACTTCATAAACATAAAAAATTATCAAGTTTAAGGTGATATCAGAAACAGGACATCATTACCCAAATGAATAGCAAAAACAAAGACGAAGGAGAAAAAGTTTCTTACATTGGGAGTGTTATCATGGAGCTGAAAAAGCTGGTCAGGAACAGTCTGTGGTGGGTCCCCATCAATGCAAAGTGGGCCCTTATCAGACCAAGCATTCAAGATCTCCTCATAATCAAGCTTCAAAGCCAAGGTCCCGCTCCTCCACCGTACCTCCACGTCACGACGAGGCTCCTCCTCCTTCTTGTCCACCAGCTCCGAGTAGCACACCCACTTCTCCACGCTCGTCTCCCTCTCTCTGCTCCTCATCGCCGTCCGTACAATGTTATAGTAGGCGTAGGTGGAAAACGACTCTTGGTCCTCTCGGTCAGATGACATTGTGGTGGTTGTCGAGGTGGAGGTCGTGGCGGTGGAGGTGGATGTGAGGAGGCCGTTGAGGGTGGCTCCGCCGTCTGAGTGGAAGAGCAAGGCCACGTTGTCGTCCTGCATGTCGGCTTTGTCTTGGTGGTCGACAAGGTTTTCCGGGTGGAGTGGGAAGAGGTTGAGCTGGTGGCGTTGACCGGCGGTCATTGTATTTGTAGTGGTCGAATCTGATACTGTGTAATAATCTTGGTCGTGATCATGCTTGGGGAGCGAGAGTTGGGATCGGAGGCTTAAGAACTTGGGCTTCCTGGTCTTGGTTCTGGATTTGCGGTGAGCTGCTGCCGGGTCTGTGGAGGTTTCTTGTTGTTCTTCCTTGATGATATTATGAATCATAGAGCTGGTTTGCACAGGATCATCATCATGACAAGTAGGAGTAGCAGAAGTAGGAAGAGGTGGACTCTTCTTGTTGCACATCTCTCTCTCTTTCTCCTAAAAAAACTTTTGCTTTCTGTGACTTGACTGCTAAACCTGGTTAGGTTGCGGGGGAAGGGAAGAAAATGAATTAAAGGGGCGAAAAGGAGATAAAAAGAAAGGGCATGGCATGGGAAAGTGTTTTTGGCGAGGAGGCAGCAAAGACAGACAGACAGAGAGAGGAGGCAGCAGCAGCTTGAACCCGCTGGGGAAATATTAAATTAAGTTGAGCTAAGCAAAGCATTGGGAAAAGGGTACTCTTCACTTCTTGATCGGTATCCAGAGGATTGATAGTGACAGAGTGCGCTTTATGCCACGTGGGATGTGAGGATTGGGTGGAGGGTTGGATTGTGCTGTGTTATCCAGATTACATTTTGCTGTAGTAGATAGATGATCATGATCATGGGATGATAGGATGATAGGATGAAGGGATGAAGGGATGAAGATGGGTCGGGTTGTGTACAATTTTGACCCAATCAGTGAATGACAGTGAGAGTGAGTGAGGTGGCCGCTTTCGTTTTCATCTCATTTCATGTGCCTCTGATAAATGTCATTCACTACGCTCATGGTCATGAGGTTTTTGTGTTCTCCTTCTCTTGTGCCCATTCCAAGGTTTCTTCTAGGTATACAACAAACTTTAAATAAGATCTAGGCCAGTTGACCATAGCAGTAAATTTGTTCTCTCGAGTTCAACTTTAAGTCCCTTCTTCGAATAATTTCAAGTAATTTTGACTATCGAATGTGAAAAAAACTTGAATGATCTAATCAACGGAATGAATTGAAACTTATAATTATTTGGTGACATAGACAAACCCAATCCTTATTTTTTATGAGCAATATATACATATAATATTAAATTTGCATTTATTTGCATATTTGCTGTGGCAGAATGGAAGGATGAAAAGAGGGGGCATTGATTCAGCCATTTCATTTCAGTTTTTAAAAAAAAGCACACGAGAAGAAAGTGCACTATGAGGTTGGAGGACCCCTCTCTGAAAAAGCATTTTTCTGTAGGGGGCCTCTGGAAAAAAGCTTTTTGTATTCCCCTTTATGTTTTTAGGTGTTTACGTGGACGTGCACGAAGCACACGTGTAGAAAGCTCCGAATAGATATCCCATCACCAAATCAAAACCCAACAAGCAACCGCTTAAATAATTCCTTTCTGTTCTCATCAAATTACTATATTGGGTCCGCTATTAGCCCAACCAATTGGAGCCTAGAACTGTCGGCGGAACGGGGATGCTCTTTTGGGTTTTCTCGAGTTCTGAGAGAATTGTGCGCTAAATATATTGGGCTGAACAAAAGCTTCTCATCAAGTTTTTTTTGGGCTTTTCTGTCTTTGAAATAAGACACCAGCTAGGGTTATGTTTTGGGCCGAACAAAAAACGATTGGCTAGTCAAAGCAAAAATGTTTATGGAGTTCAGTTGAACCCAATAAAACAAAGTTTAGAAAAGAAAAAAAGAAAAAACGCAACGCAGTATTTGATGTATATTTCCTAAAATGTAGACTATGGCAAAACGTGCGCCATATATCATTCCTATATTTTCTCACTCACGGCAGGGGATCACGAACACCATAAGTAGTTCACACTGAACTGTAAACACCCATGAAAAATCCGCAACTAATTAAGGTGATTGGCATAATAAGAACCTAGTGGTAGTGGACATCCAACGAGGTCTAGTTCAGTAAGAAAGGATCTTGATTTGCACAAACCAGTTATTTCATGATTGAACTCTATGACACTTTAGTATTGTGTGAGTGAGAAATCATGCTTACCCTTGTAGTTTAGATTATCATTTTTGTATTAAAAAAAAATGTTATTCAATGAATTTGGTTTATTTATATCTTCTTATTATCTTAGTAGACAATTAGTAGCGGGCCCACAGAGGCGTAAGGAGGTACAACTTCACCTCATCTTACCAGGAAATCTTGTGAAGAGGTCGGAGTATGTCCTTTTGCTGGTGCTAATGTTCTGCATCTGAGGCGTGTTGCAAGGGCTTTCAAAAGAGGAAGATGACTTGGGTTTTTTTTATTTTTTTATTTATCATTTTTCTGCAGTGCAAACGATGTCATCTTCGTAGTGCTCTTGTTTACTTTTAATGAAACGTCCACTAATGATGCAATTCTGACTTTGGCAAATTACTACTTTAGCCTTTTTATATTGTTCTCCACATAATTTTAAAAAACATGTTTATTATTATCCCATGATTAATTAACCATATGCGCACATGATAGAGAACCCACAACCCCAAAATCACTTCCCAAAGATTTCTCAAGTGCAAATTTAAGAATTCATAACGTCTTGACTTGAAGATAATTATTAGATAATGTTCCATGTGGCTTTTACAGTTTATTTTTATCAATTTTATTTTCCCCCTCCTCTTTAGATCTTGTATGGCCAATTAGTATTTATATTTATTATATTAAATCGATTATTATGCTTCAATAATAATTAGTAGATTTATAAATTTTTCTTGTCAAAACAATTTATGTCTCAAAAAATTACTCATTAACGCTTTGATGCTTATGCGTCGCTTTGTCAGACCAAAAATTGTTGAAGTTTGGTATGAAATCGATTATGTATTCTTGGCTAAGTTAGGAATCCAAGTTGTAATATGTTTGGGAGGTTTGGACGCAAGCTTCCAAGTTGGTCTTGGATTCTGACTTAATTTAGTTTTTGGTTTCCTATGTATAGTAGGATTTGGTTGTCATCAATCTAGTATAAATATATAATCTTAAGCCATCTCCAGTCATAAGACTAAATGTAGTTCAAGCTAAAAATTTAGCCCTTCAAAATATTAATTTTTTAAAGAGTAGTGCAGGGCTAAATTTTTCCATCTCCAGCCATACAGGGCTATATTTTAGGGTCCTTCTTATTTTATTATTTTGAGAAAAACTATAGTACAACACTCATACATTTCACAACTATGTATTATTTAATTTAATTAAACTACTATTTAGAGACAATATTCCATATATGACAAGATTTTTGATAAGATTTTGTGTCCACGTGACACTTCTGATTTTAAAGGGATCTTAATAATTGTTCGGGCTATGATTTTTGAGTGACACGTGTTGAATTTTTTTTATAATTTTTTCTTAAATAACATGAATTGAAACATTTAAAATATTGAAAACATGATTTGAATTTTAAACACTTTAAAACATTGAAAACATTTTAAATAGGAATTGAAAACATTTTAAAACATTTAAAACATTTAAAACATTTAAAAATTGAAAATATAATTTTTTAGGCTAATGAGCCAAATGTGGCCCTCCAAATCTGGCCAAAATTTTGTTTAACCCATGACTGAAGATGAGTTTTGCATTATTTTAGAGTTATATTTGGGATATAGCCCATAACTGGAGATGGCCTTAGGAGTAGTTTAATATATAGATAGTGAGGCATCTGTTTGTAATCTCGAGAGCTATTGAGAATTTGTTAGTTCTCTTTTATTGGGTTTAATAAAAGGTTTCATTGCTCAGGAAGGTACTCTTATATTGGAGGAACCCTTATATAGTTTGTGTTCCTTGTTTTTTGTTCATCGTTTTAGTTCTTGTTATTGTTTAAAGTATAACAAAAATGTCTCTCAAAAAGCTTACTCTTTAACGCTTTGATGCTAATGCTTCGCTTTGTCGTACCAAAAACGTCTCGGCTCTTTGCCTTTTCATTTATAATTTAAATTTTGGTCATCATCAAAATATTGGTCATTTATATCTTGTTATTATCTTTATAGACAATTAGTAGCGGACTCACAGAGGCGCAAGGAGGTGCAGTTGCACTTCCCCTTACCAAAAAATCATGTGGAGAGGTCAGTGTATGCCCTTCTGCATCTGAAACGTGTTGCAAGGGCTTTCAAAAGAGGAAGATGACTTGGGGTTTTTTATTTATTTTTTTCAATTTTCTGCAGTGCAAACGACGTCATCTTTGTAGTGCTTTTGTTTACTTTTAATGAAACGCCCACTATTGATGCAATTCTGACTTCGACAAATTACTACTTTAGCCTTTTTATATTGTCCTCCATATAATTAAAAAAAACATGTTTATTATTATCCCATGATCAATTAACCATGTGCGCACATGATAGAGAACCCACAACCCCAAAATCACTTCCCAAAGCTTTCTCAAGTGCAAATTTAAGAATTCATAACGTCTTGAAGATAATTATTAGATAATAATCCATGTGGCTTTTACAATTTATTTATCTTACTTTTATTTTCCCCCTCCTCTTGACATCTTGTATGGTGAATTAGTATTTATATTTGATTATATTAAATCGATTATTATGCTTCAATAATAATTAATTAGTAGATTTATAAATTTTTATCGTCAAAACAATTTATGTCTGAAAAAACTTACTCCTTAATGCTTTAATGCTTATGCGTCGCTTTGTTGGACCAAAAACTGTTGAAGTTTGGTACAAAATCGATTCTGTATTCCTGGCTAAGTTAGGAATCCAAGTTGTAATATGTTTGGGAGGTTTGGACGCAAGCTTCCAAGTTGGTCTTGGATTATGACTTAGTTTAGTTTTTGGTTTCCTATGTATAGTAGGATTTGGTTGTCATCAATCTAGTACAAATAGATATCTTAGGCCATCTCCAGTCATAAGGCTAAATGTAGTAGTCTAGGGCTAAAAATTTAGCCCTCCAAAATATTAATTTTTTAAAGAATAGTACAGGGCTAAATTTTTCCATATACAGCCATACATGGCTATATTTTAGGGTCCTTATTTTATTATTTTGAGAAAAATTATGGTACAACACTCATACATTCTACAACTATGTATTATTTAATTTAATTAAACTACTATTTAGAGACAATATTCCATATATGACAAGATTTCTGATAAGATTTTGTGTCTACGTAGCACGTCTTATTCTAAAGGAATCTTAATAATTTTTCGGGCTATGATTTTTGAGTGACATGTGTTGAATTTTTTCTTAAATAACACAAATTGAAACATTTAAAACATTTAAAAAATATGTGTGAAAACATGAATTGAAAACATTTTAAACATTTTAAAACATTTTAAACATGAATTGAAAACATTTTAAACATTTAAAATATGAATTGAAAATATAATTTTTCGGGCTAAAAGGCCAAATGTGGTCCTTCAAATTTGGCCAAAATTTTGTTTAGCCCCTGACTGAAGATGAGTTTTGCATTGTTTTTAGGCTATATTTGAGATATAGCTCATGACTGGAGATGGCCTTAGAAGCAATTTAATATATAAGAGAGTGATGCATCTGTTTGTAATCTCGAGAGCTATTGAGAGTTTGCAAGTTCTCTTTTATTGGGTTTAATAAAAGGTTTCATTGTTCAGGGAGGTACTCCTATATTGGAGGAACCCTTGTATAGTTTGTGTTCCTTGTTCTGTGTTCATCGTTTTAGTTCTTGTTATGACTTAAAGTATAACAAAAACGTCTCTCAAAAAGCTTACTCCTCAACGCTTTGATGCTGATGCTTCGCTTTGTTGTACCAAAAACGTCTCGGCTCTCTGCTTTTTCATTTATAATTTAAATTTTGGTCATCAAAATATTGTTCCGCAGTCAGGGGAAGCAAGGCAAAGTAAAATAAACCAGTTGAAGGTGGCGATTGGTATAATTTTGTCCACCAGACATGCAATTGACTTGACATATGTTTTTGAAAACAGAAAATAAATATTTATAATCCCGTTTCTCAAAATGAAGTTGGACAATACGTACAAATTTCTTCCTTTTTAGCGCAAGGAGTCAAAAGTAGCCATCATGATTCATGTGGTAAGTGAGAAGGGAGAAAATATGTTTCCATTAATCCCTGGAATCCTGTTAATGTTAAAATGCGATGGCAAACCCGGCGGTAAAGGAAAAAAACAGAGATTTATTTTAGACAAATAAGATACTCCTCGTACTTGAAGTACCACCACAAATAATATTCATTTCTAGTCATCTTATCCATGCATCATTAACAATAACATCATCAAAACAAAACAATAATCACTTTATTAATCTTTCAATCATGAAGAGAATGAGAGAGAGAGAGGTAAGTAAAACTGTAAAAGTGAAGGGGCCCCGAGAGACTTTATGTTTATGGGTGCGGTGGGGGGTGGAAATGTTGAAACATTAAAGTCAACCATTTGACAATTGGAAGGTTTGAAAGTCTAAGATTTATTGTTTAACGGTTTTAAACGAACAGATAGGAGGATGGGAAGAAAGAGGAGCCTAATCCATGGATGAAGATTAACCTGAAATTACGATATGGCAGGACCCACTTTTTTATGTTAATTAAATCACGCCATCACTCTCGGCTTTACACGCCCTTATAAACCCACTCAACCAAGAACATATCTCCAACTCAACCAAGCCCATCTCGCTCTCCCTGCAAGAAACCAAATGGCTGGGTTCTCGCTTTTGCTGATTTTCCTCATCATCACTTGCTTCCTAACTGCAACTTTTGTTTCCTCCTCACAACTTCATGACCCTGAACTAGTAGCACAGGAAGTCCATAGGTAAATGACGCGACGACACCTATGTTTTGTTATTTTTCTTTTGCTGCTTATTTACTTTAATATTTAATATTTTTGTGTATGTAAATGCGTACGTATAGGAGCATCAATGCTTCTAGGAGGAACTTGGGCTACTTGTCATGTGGAACTGGCAACCCCATAGACGATTGCTGGAGGTGTGATCCCAACTGGGAACAAAACCGCCAGCGCTTAGCCGACTGCGCCATTGGGTTCGGCAAGGACGCCATCGGAGGAAAAAAACGGTCGAATCTACCTAGTCAGCGACTCTGGGGACGACGACCCAGTGAACCCCAGACCCGGAACCCTAAGACACGCAGTGATCCAAGACGAGCCATTGTGGATTATATTCAAAAGGGACATGGTGGTTCAGCTGAAGCAAGAGCTTGTCATGAACTCGTTCAAGACCATCGACGGTAGAGGAGCGAGCGTCCACATAGCCGGAGGGCCATGCATCACCATTCATTATGCCACCAACATCATCATCCATGGCATCCACATCCACGACTGTAAGCAGGCGGGGAACGGGAACATAAGAGACTCGCCGGAGCATTCAGGTTGGTGGACGATATCGGACGGCGATGGGGTGTCCATATTTGGTGGGAAACATATATGGGTGGACCATTGCTCTCTCTCTAATTGCCATGATGGCCTCATTGATGCCATCCATGGATCCACAGCCATCACCATATCCAATAACTACATGACCCATCATGATAAGGTCATGCTTTTGGGGCACAGCGATTCCTATACGCAAGACAAGGGCATGCAGGTCACAGTTGCCTTTAATCATTTTGGAGAAGGCCTTGTCCAAAGAATGCCAAGGTAATAATTCATAAAGATATACATACAGATATATTAATTTTCCAAAATTAACGAACTCTTTGGGTTTTTTATATATGAAAGTAAATTAATTAATAGAGCCTAATAATATATATATTGCATGTGCAGGTGTAGACATGGATATTTTCATGTGGTGAACAATGACTACACACACTGGGAAATGTATGCAATTGGAGGGAGTGCAGCTCCAACTATCAACAGCGAAGGCAATAGATTTCTGGCGCCTAATACACGTTTCAATAAAGAGGTAATTACTTAGTTAGAATTTAGCATAAGTGCGTTATGTCATCAGTCGGCCATGCAATGTGCCAACTCTCTTGATTCCTCTTTCCGTGTCTTAGAATAGTTTACAATATTATTTTATCCCAAATTAATCACTAATTAATTGATGTACGTAGGTAACTAAACATGAGGATGCACCAGAGAGTGAGTGGAGGGGTTGGAACTGGAGGTCAGAGGGGGATATGATGTTGAACGGGGCATATTTCAGGCAATCAGGAGCAGGAGCATCTTCAAGCTACGCCAGGGCTTCAAGCCTCAGTGCAAGGCCTTCTTCTCTGGTGGGCTCCATCACAACTACCGCCGGTGCCCTTATCTGCAGGAAGGGATCCCGCTGCTAATTATCAATTAATCAACAACGAGAACTAAGAAATTATGTAGTAATTAATGAAAAGCAAGGAGTTTGCAAACCTCTGCTGTTAGCTTAATTAATCAAAATTCGGCAACCAGAAGTGTTGACTACTTTTAAACTATAACTGTTTCACTCTGCCTGGGTTTGTTTTGCGCATGCGCTGTCTCCTACCTACCAAATACCTTAATTACCATGCTTTGCAATTTGCAATTTGCAATTTGCATGTACAAAAGCAAAAGACTTGGTAAGATTGTTTAATTATTATTATTACCCCAATAAGAAAAGAAAGAAACACAATTTGCATGCAGAAAGAAATTCTTAATTAAATTGTAGCAACCTTTTCCCCGTCAATTAAGCAAAGAAAAGTGCTGGGGCCTGTTGGGGTCGGTCGGTCCATAACCATAAATAATGTTCCGGTCTACAAGCGTGGAGTGGATTCACACACACACACACACACTCGCTCTACGTACCTTCCAGAAACAATTATTCCTTTATTTATTTATTTATATCATAGCCAGCTGCTGATCATAATTGGTTGACTTACTTTTGCTATTGATTGGTCAAATATTCTTCCCTAAACCCTTCGTTTGTTTGTGATGGATGCAGCACGTAATTCAATTTGTACAAAGGCAGACAATATATATATATATATATATATATGCATGCATTCTCAAACACAAAGTAATAAAAACTAATAGAAAATCTAAATTCGGATTCTAATTCTTTTCGGTTTTTTGAAAGAATTAATGCTACTTTTACCATATTTGTGTACCATTCTCATATCACCTTATGTGGTAGATGAGGTGGATAACTACATTAATTAAAATTAATTTAATATTTTCTTTTCTCCATGATTTATTGATACTTTTTAATTGATGCGACTGTCTACTTCATCTGCCACGTAAGGTAGTATAAAAATATGATAAGAGTATCATTACTCTTTGTGAAAATATTAGCATAATCAATTACCCATGCAATGCCAGACACGGGGTTACGTATTTAACTAGCTAACGTTGATTAAGTTGAGTGCCCTTTAATTAATGAGTTGAATGAGTGAAACGGATAAAACGTGGATTGATTCGATGTTACAGAGAATAAATCACTAGTCATGAAAGATGATAATGATAAGAAGAAGTAGGGTCTCGACCGAACAACATCGAATTAAGTTTCGGGGCATAAAAATAGAAAGCGCATCATGCAGTGAGAGGGGTAACTAATTTAGAAGGCAAACAAGGTGGCAGCTGCGAGTAGGGCAACACTACCGGCAGAGACAGTGGAGAAGAAGGCCGGGGCTGCGGCGGCGCTTTTAGAGGAAGAGTCGGATGGAGCTGGTGTGTCAGCGGTGATAATGTCGGAGGGAGTCTCAGTACTGTCCGTGGACGGGGCAGGGGGAGACGCTGATTCACTGGGGGCTGGTGCCGTGGAGGTGTCGTCGTCAGAAGATGGAGATGAGCTGCTGTCTTTGTCTTTTTTGCCCGAAGATGATGACTTAGGAGATGAAGCTGGGCTGCTGCTGCTGCTGCTGTCGCTATCTTTGTCGCCTGAAGATGATGACTTGGGTGAGCTGGCAGAAGAGCCTGAAGACCCAGAAGATCCCGAAGAGCTTGATGGGGAGGACTTAGGCGATGGTGAAGATGAGCTGCTGCCGCTGTCTTTGTTACCTGAAGATGATGATGAGCTGCCAGAAGAGGAAGACTTGGGCGATGGTGATGAAGAAGAAGAGCCGCCCGAAGAGCTGCTGGGAGATGGTGATGATGATGACTTGTCCTTGTCCTTACTATCGGACGATGATGACTTGGGGGCTGATGCTGATGGGGTCGGGGCTGATGATGATTTATCCTTCTTGTCCTTGTCCTTGTCATTTGATGATGATGAGGAGGAGGTCGGGGCATCAGATGATGATGATGATGAGGAGGAGGAGGATGGAGAGGAGGATGGTGACGACGACGATGATGAACTGCTGTCGCTGCTGCTGCGGCTTTTTGAGTCTTTGTCTTCTTTCTTAGATGGTGAAGGTGTAGGACTGCTGCCTGAGTCTGCTGCTGCAACCCCCACAATGGCAACTAATACCAAAGCAAGGACTACCAATTCACGACGTGCCATTTTCCTTCTTCTTTCTTATTCTCCTCACTTCTCACTTGTTATTCTTCTGTTTTATGGTTATATAAGCTTAGCTCTGTGTTTTGTTTTGGCTACTTTTGGTTTACGATGAATGTGTGGTTAATTGCAATAGGTAAGTCTAAATATAAACGTATATATATAGAGAAAAAACACACGGCGCAACTATAATTAATGGATGTGGATCATAATTAAGATGGTGAAGGGAATGAGATTTGTAGGACTTAGCATGGAAGGGAGATAGCCTAGGGAATCTGTGGATGGAAACACATCTGTGTTAGTCTTTTCTGTTGGTTTTGAGAGAGGAGAGAGCCCAGAAAATTGTGATTATTGGCTGGCCGGGCTTAGCGGGTCATGGTTCGATTATCACTTGGTGTGCGGGTTTCTTGGTGCAGGAAGGACAAGGATCTTCATTCTCCATCACACATGCGTTAACTTGCTACAATGGCTTTTGTTAGGACATCTATTATTAGAAACAAAGAAAGAAAACAAGGACCTTCCCTTGCCATTCATTTGTGTTAGCCTCCTTTATCATGTTCTTTCTCTCTTTTTGTAATTCCCATCCATGTCTAGTGTAAATGTGAATTCTAAAGGTTGATAATACATCAGCATATACCATATATGATCTTGAATTATAGGCCAAATAATTACGAAATAAAACCATGAAAATCCAAATTTAGCCCAAAGCCTCTATTTTAGTGAGTTGATATAGACCTCGTGGACAACACTCTTCGCGCCAAAATAAGAACACTGCTTATCTCTTTACATGTAAGGAGTTATTTGGAGTTATTCCTCTTTACATACCAATACACATATGCAAAAGTAACTTATTAAAATTACAAATAGAAAAATTTATGCACATATGTCGTGTCGAAGTATGATTTATCTGCAAAGAGAAATGGCTACGTAAGGACCCAAATAATTTCCCCAAAATGAAAGGGATCAAATATATGTTTATTTTTATTTTTTGGCAACAACAAAGGTAAGGAGAGCATTGACCACATATTGACCGACAAAAACAGATAAAAAAGACTCCTCTTTGTGAACTTGCAGCCCAAAGAACGTGGGCCAATTGAAAAGAAACTACAGAGCTTGCCATGGAAATACTATAAGCCCAGATCCAACCGCCGAATGCCAAGTATTTTTTCAATTAAAATCCAAAAGCTATATATTAAAAACGAGATCAGAACTTTTGTAACCCGAACCGGCTATTGACCCGAGAATCAGCTGCTGGTGCTCTTCTGCCAGTGCCACAGAGATTTATTAAGCTGAAAAAGCCATGGCTGATGGACCCGCCCCGGAACCCGGATCCCCAAGCTTCTCCTCCGCCGTCAACGGCGGCAAAACCCTGGAGGAATGCCAAGACATGATTCAACGAAGCCTCCGGAGTACTCTTCTACTTTCTTTTTCACCTTTTTATTTTCTGTTTTTAACAACTCATTTTCATAAAAATCTAATTGGGATTAAGGGTTTAGAGGTTCACGGCATCTGGGGTTTCTCTTTGGTTTTCGTTTGTTTTCTTTCTAATTCTCTAACACCAAACACGTTTTCTGCAACAGTTCCAATGGTGAAATTTCTGTTGAAGCATTTGGAGCAAGCCGGATGTGGGATTGGGGACAGGTTCATCAAGGCCGTTCATTGTGACAAGCAGATTGCTGGCGGTTATGCCCGCGGTGAAGGGGTACAACAATACAATTACGATTCCTCTGAATTTCTATTTGTTTAAGCGAAAGCTTTGATTTTTACAGATGTGAGAAACTTCATTTCGTAATTGAAAATTTAGCAAATGCAGTAGAATCTGTATAGTACTAGTTGCAGTGAACATTGAACTTTAAAATTTTTAATCTTGGAAAGTATCTAAATTGCTAGATTGAGTAGCATGTCTTCTGGTCATTCGAGTATCTATCAATTGATTGGTCATTTGTGAAGCTCTTTTAATGGTCTGTTCTTTCCGCATAGTAAATATTTGCAGGAAGAGCTTGTTAAGAAACTAATTTCTTTTTCTGTTCTGTATGTCTTCATGTGTACTAGATACTGGTATGTGGTAATCACATGAACATTCAAGATGAAGTCTGTTCTTTCCGCATAGTAAATATTTGCAGGAAGAGCTTGTTAAGAAACTAATTTCTTTTTCTGTTCTGTATGTCTTCATGTGTACTAGATTCTGGTATGTGGTAATCACATGAACATTCAAGATGAAGTCAACCAAGTGGTGATACATGAGCTAATTCATGCTTTTGATGATTGTCGTGCTGCAAACTTGAACTGGGCTAATTGTGCACATCATGCTTGTAGTGAGGTGTGCATCAATATATAGCAACTGAATATTTTTCTTGTATCAGGTGTAGTGTAATTCTTCATACCTCAATTTAATCTTAAAAAAAAACATACACACTTTGTTTTTCTGGAACAGATTCGTGCTGGCCATCTAAGCGGTGATTGCCACTATAAACGGGAATTGCTGAGGGGTTTTGTAAAGATTCGAGGTCATGAACAAGTGAGTTATTCAGCTTTATTTACATAAGAACTTAAGATATACTCTTCGGGCTACATTCTTTGCATACAATGTGAGATGCTCTCTTACCTTAATTTGATACGGAAAGAGGAAAGCCAAAAGGCTTCAGTTGTATAGGAAAGGGGGATAGGGCCTTTTTCATATACTGCAAAGTTCTGTTTTATACCAGATCTGGAGTCTTTGCTTTTTTCTTTTCCTTTTTTATATATAATGTCCCACTTTCAAATTTTAAATCACGTTTTAAATGAATCCGAATCATGGTTTCAATTGATTGAAATAAATTGGGGATGGATTTTTTCTCTCTTTCATATTTTCCTTGGACAAATATACGGTAGTTGATGTTCATTGCATTCCCATTTTGACATTTGAAGGATTGTGTGAGACGAAGAGTTATGAAATCAGTCATTGCTAATCCTTATTGCTCAGAAGCAGCTGCAAAGGATGCCATGGAAGCTGTTTGGGATGTTTGTTACAATGATACACAGCCCTTTGACAGAGCTCCATAAGTTACAGTTATAGGTACCAAACCAGCTGCCACTTGAAGTAGTTATTATTTGGCATTGTGGGAGCCTCTGGCCCGTGAAGAGAAACAGTGTCATTCCCTGATTTTTTATTAGTTGCATAAGATATATTTCAATTGGAAGTTCATTTTATTCGAGGAATTTCCTCAAATTTTCTATTTAAGATGAATACCTTTCTTTTTCAGATGTCATACCAATTGTACACCAATGACTAATGTTGTTTTTTGTGTTTACATTCCAAAATAATAAGATTTTATGTCGTTTGTTTTACCTTCAATTTGATGAATTATTTATTGGTTGGATAATACTTAGCTAGAATCAACTGGCATGATGGCCATTGGAGTGTGCATAGACTATTTTTTGTTGTTGCAGAAACTGATTTCATCCATCCTGCTCTTCAACAATTTGCAAAAGAACTCAGCCAGTCAATTTCAAATAAACAAATCAGCAATGATGTATGGGCAAGCAACCTGATCCCAATGATCTTAGAAGACAGCTTCGAGCAGAAAAATACAAAGATGTTTTCATTAAAAATGATCACTGCAGTTTTTCAACACTTCGTTAATAATTTTTTTGGCTCCTTCAACATATTGTATTTTCCATGTGTGAGGTAGGTCAACAAAACGACCATGTAGTTTATTGGTGCTGCTACTAACTAGATGAGCCTGGTCTTCAATCAGACCCCATAATGTTAAAGGCTATTACTGATTTACTAAATTCAGGATCATGGACCACGCGGTGATCACAAGGATATCCTTTTATCTTATTGTGAATTTTGATTCTAATGCCTTTTAGCGCCAACAGGAGACTTGGTGGGCTTCTTGGGGCCGGAGGATGGACCAGAGGCAGAGGTTGAAGCCTTTGGGGGTGGAGTGGTGGGCTTCTTGGGGCCGGAGGATGGACCAGAGGCAGAGGTTGAAGCCTTCGGGGGTAGAGTGGTGGGCTTCTTAGGGCCGGAGGAAGTTGGTGAACTGGCTGGTGCGGCTTTGGTTGATGGTGATGGTGCAGTCTTAGGTGAGGCAGATGGGGAGGAAGCCGAAGACTTGGGGGATGATGCTGGCGCGGAGGATGTGGACTTAGCCTTATTTGAGGAGGCTGGACCTTTGGCTGGTGATGATGATGGCGACTTAGATTTGGCTGATGGCGATGGTGCATTGGCCTTTGCAGCAACCCCAGAAATAATGGCAACAAAGATGAGAGTAAGGACGATCAGTTGATTTGCCATCTTGTGTTTGTTTTGTGATGTTTTTTCTTTTGGATAGGTAGGTTTAGTGTTAGATATAAGGCGGAAGCAAGAGGAGTGTTGGTGTGGAAGAAGGTGGTGAAGGAATGGAGATTTATAAAGGCTTGAGGAGGTGAATGAGTGGGAGGGAGATAGAGTAGGAAAATTGTGTGGTGTTTGTGGCAGAACAAGGATTTCGTGAAAAATGCTTTTATTAGAAGTAGTACTTCTATTATTAGAAAGAAAAGAAAAGCAAGGGCCTTCGGTTTTTGGTCCTTGCGGATTGGGATGATGGTGCAGCAGCAGCAGCAGCACAACACTTCGAAACTTTCTTTCAGAAGAGAGCTGTTGTGTCTCGAGCGAGCTCCACCATCATCATCATGGACGCGCATTAATTATGAACATTTGAATTTCTAATCAACCATTTGGATTGGCTTAAAAGTAGTCAGTCATGATAATCTCCCAAAACAGATACCAAAATGTCCCTGCTTCATCCGGAAACCAAAACATCAAATATTTATGCTGTGTCTGGTGGTAATTTGGTATTGAAGATATGGTTTTCGTATAGGCAGACTAATTTCACTGATATAGCATATATGTCCTGGATGTTGCTTTTGGGTGCGTGCGTCCAGTAACTGAATTAGTACCAAACTAATTAATGGTGAGGGTCGTGAGATTTTTTGTTTTAAAACCAGTGTGCTATGAGTGGTCAATCGCAATCCAAATACATGATTACACACACTAATATTACTGAAATTCAAATATCCTTTCCTCTTTTTCGTTCGTTAAGGTAGAGGAAGAAATTCAAAACATTATGAGTAATGCTACTTTTACCATATTCTCATACCATCTTATGCGACAAATGAAGTGGACAACCATAACATGTCATGAGAATCATGTCAGATGAAATGGACAATTACATTTGCATATCACATTTTTATTAAGCATGACATGATTCTCCAGTACGACGGATAATTGATTAGTTTAGTGGTTTCAATATTGAAAAATACCCAAAGTTCGAATATTTGTTAAGCATGCTTTTTTGGGTGGGTTATTGCCTTTTTTTTTCTTTGTTCTTTTTACACAAAAATTTTATTATTATTTATACATATGTGAAATTGAAAAAAGGAAAAATCGAATACAGGACTTCGTGTAGAAAGATAAATATTTTTAACGGCCACTTGAATTACATCAATATATAACTTAATATGTGAATGTATGGAACCTTTTATACAAATTTATAAATAAACCCAATCCTAGACATGTATTTATAAAAAAACTCAAGCACTATTTAAACATAGAAACACACCCAAAATTAACCCCAAAGTCAACTTTTTGGGTGTGTTTATAAATGGGTTTTGAGTGTGTTTATATGTTTAAATAGTGCTTGGGTTTTTTTATAATTTCAATCCTCATTTTAAGTGTTTTAGTGAAACTCCCTATTAAGCTGCCAAGTTTCGTTTCCATTTTGGCAGTGAAAGCCAGAGAGCTATTGCAAATTAACAATTTCAAATAATTCTTGGATTGGTAATATAATAAACTTAAAATTAGTAGTGATCAAATAATGAAGATACAAAAACAAAAACAAAAGAATATCCATGTGAAGAAGAATATAACATATGTATAGTATAGCATAGCAAGGTTGCCCCCATAGATCATCTTCGATATATTATTATTTTGCGGTCTAAGAGAGGTACCATTAATAAATAAATCTATGCATGGGAACTCTATTAAATTAAATATAAACAAAATTTAGCTTGATGAATGAATAAATTAATTAGAGGTAAACTCCTCAGTTCTTGATGAGCCTAGAGAAATCATCGATGGGATAATCTTCCTCAGCTGATGAAGGGTCTACTGGTCCCTCAGCTGTGACAATTCCTTCTGGGGCAGCTGCTTCATCAGCTTCGGTGGCAGCTGCCCCGCTGTCTGCCCAGCTGTCGCCGCCTGCAGGGGAAGGAGCAGGTGGCGAAGAGATATCGCTAACAGGGGTTGGGGCAGCGGCAGCATCAGAGGCGCCGGGAGAAGGAGCTGATGATGATGATGAGGGGGCAGCGTCAGGCGACAAGGCTGGTGCATCGTTCGGTGAGGGTGCGGATGGTTCTTGTGCTAAAACCCCAGAAATGGCAACAAAGATGAGAGCAAGGACAATCACTTGGCGTGCCATCTTTGCTTCTTGCACTGTCTAATTTGCACCTCTTATCAAAGTGTACGCAGTCAAGTTATAAGAAGGTGGACGTGGGTGGTGGGAGGGAGAGTAGGGATATATGTAGTTTGGTAGGATGGGATGAGGAGAGAGCAGAGATGGGTTTTCTTGGCTCTCCGGTGTTAGCGCATGGTTCTTCTATTATCTATCATCTATTATTAGAAAGAAAACAAGGACCTTAATTAACTTGTTTTTCTGTTGCAAATTTATTTATTTTGGGATTTGTAATGGCTTTGATTAGGTGGGGATTAAGTAATAGATTATGGGCCTCCATATCTCCATCTCCATCTCCATCTCCATGGTGGTCTCATCGGCACAACCTCTGGTTAGCCCAAACAACCAGACAAAGAGAAATATATAGGACGGCTGTTACCCTAGAAATTCAAAATCCTGCCCACCACATTTATCCTCTTCATATCTCAACTATCAAGAATTCTATAGTGAGGTAAGGCCCTTAGAGTTAGACAAGGGAATATATCTTAACTGTTTGATCAAATTTATTAGTTTTTTTCATGGTATCGTATCAAATTGGTTAGTTTGATTTAACAATTAAGATATATAACCTCATTTAAGGACGTCTCGCTATAGAATGACTAACTCAACTATACCAACACCCACTAGCCTACTACTACTATCATTTATACATGTACATGTCAACTATGTAACTTAAGCTTACCCTCCAACTAATTACTCATAAATATATAACTATTATTGAATACGATATTATTTTTAATATAAATAACTCAAATCGATACAAGGATAAATGAAACTTTTAATCACTTTAACTACAAATCTCTTGCGAACATAATAATATATCATTTTACACGTGTCTACAAGAAGAGTGGAACCTAAAATCTACCGTTCGCTCCATCTTATTCCCTTTGGAAATTTTCATTTATTAAACCTTTTAATTATTAGCGGATATTACGTAGGGTAAGGGTATTGATACCAAAATCAATGGGTCCACTACATTGACCAATGACACCAATATAACCATATATTCTTATCATAAAGTATTAATATTGTCTTTATTAAGTCTAGATAAAAAAATAAAAAAATAAACAGAATTTAGCTAGAATTACATTAATAAAATATCAAAGTAAAATCAATATTTATATGAGTTTTTTTATAAATAAAAAAAAATTATTTGGGCATGCATGAGAGATAAAACATACATAAATATATGTTGTCAAAGTGTCAATCATAGAGGAGATCGCCAGATTTAACTGGAAACACATTGTTTGTGACGAAACGTGTATGGCATCTCCGCCCCGACGAGTGTCTTCTCTCTTATATTCTCTCCTGCCCTCCTCTCTCGCTCCTATTCCTCTCTTCCACGCATTACCCATTTACCCTTTGCTTCTTTCTTCCGTATTCTCTCCATCTCTCTCTCGTTCTCTCTCTTCATCCATGGCTCCAGAACTTCAACAAGACGGAGAAACTCTGCCCCAAAATAACAACACTTACACTAGTGACCATGACGCTCTTCACAAAACCAAAGTCACCGTTGTGGGTAGTGGCAACTGGGGCAGTGTGGCTGCCAAACTCATTGCCTCTAACACCCTCAGGCTCTCTTCTTTCCATGGTATATCTTTTATTTAGTATTTGTTTTCGACATTTCCATTTTCTTTTTTTTCATGCAATGCAAGTCTGGATATTTATTTATGCCACCAGTCAGAATTTTGGTTTATCCACTATTCTTGAATTCTACGTTTGGATTTGGTTGCTGTTGAGAAACTGAATAGAGCCTGATTTTGGAACAGGGTCTGATTTCTTAAAGAATGTCAAGTTAATTGCATTTCCTTGTTTGATTCTGGGCTTTTGTGGTCTTGGTTGTTCAATGAATGAAAATTCTGATATTCCAATACATTTTCAGTTGATTTACTTCCATTTTCAATTCGAGTTTTGTTTTTTCTCCAATGAAATTTAGATGAAGTGAGAATGTGGGTATTTGAGGAAACGTTACCGAGTGGTGAGAAGCTCACAGATGCCATCAACCGAAACAATGTAAAAATCAATCACCTTTCATACATTCATTCATTCCTCTCCTCTTATATGTGATGAACCAATTCTTCCCATTTAATCTTCCTATCCATTTTCTTCAATAGGAAAATGTGAAATATCTGCCCGGCATAAAGCTGGGGAAAAATGTTGTTGCAGACCCAGACCTTGATAATGCAGGTACTCAATTTCGATGTTTCTAAACTTGTGTAATTTGTTGGGTACTTGGAGCAAATTTTTGTAATTCAAGTGGGGGAGTTTTGCAGTGAATGGTGCAAACATGTTGGTGTTTGTTACTCCACATCAATTTATGGAGGGTATATGCAAGAGACTTGTTGGGAAGATAAAAGTGGATGTGGAAGCTATTTCCCTCATCAAAGGAATGGAGGTCAAGATGGAGGGCCCGTGCATGATCTCTACACTCATCTCAGAGCAATTGGGCATTAATTGTTGTGTTCTAATGGGAGCAAACATAGCTAATGAGGTAATTTGGCCCGACTTTTCAATCTATTTTATAGCTTTCTTGTGCCAGATCATCAAATCTAGTTTATCTGAAATTAGAGACTGTTTGTGTAGATTGCTTTGGAGAAATTTAGTGAAGCCACAGTTGGATACAGAGAAAACAGAGCGATTGCAGAGAAATGGGTTCATTTGTTTAGTACTCCCTACTTCATAGTCACACCTGTGAGTACATCAAATACATTGTTACAAATCAATGTCATAATAAAGTACTCTTACTATCATGAATCTTGGCATGGGCGGGAACTACTTTAACATCCACTCAATGTAGTAAGCATTTGATAGCATGTAAGCACTGAAAGCTTTTGATGCATCATAAAATTGGATTTTGTGATTTATATCGACTAAATATTGAAGGTTTGCTCCGTTCACACTTTTTGGGTTGTATGAAATTTATAGGTCCAAGACGTGGAAGGAGTAGAACTGTGTGGGACCCTGAAAAATGTTGTGGCCATAGCAGCAGGTTTGTAGTACTAATGTCTCTTTCCCTTCTCAAGTTTGAATGAGCAATTAATGGGTTTAATTACTAATGGAACAGGTTTTGTGGATGGATTGGAGATGGGAAATAACACAAAGGTAATTTCAAACATTTCTGTATAGTTTGAACCCATGTCTCATCTGCCTTTTCTATTTCATTTTGACTGGTTATTTTGAATGACCAGGCTGCAATTATGAGAATTGGTCTAAGAGAGATGAAGGCATTTTCCAAGATGTTGTTTTCATCTGTCAAGGACAGCACCTTCTTTGAAAGCTGTGGTGTTGCTGATCTCATCACAACATGCTGTAAGGAAGCAGGAGGATTTCTTCCTTCTATTTATTTTATTTTTCTTTCTTAAGTTTCTGTCTAACCTCAGTGTGTATGGCAGTGGGTGGAAGAAACAGGAAAGTTGCTGAAGCTTTTGCAAGGGGTGGAGGGAAAAGGTAAAAGCTTTAAAGCTCCAGCAGATAAAAAACCTTGTAAAAGTAAAAAGTATTTAACTATCGCCCTTATGTTTGTTGTCTGCAGATCGTTTGATGAGCTCGAAGCAGAAATGCTGCAGGGTCAAAAATTACAGGTTTATATTAAACATTATAAACAGATAACTGAACTGTGTTATTACTCAGATTTGTACATTGATTACATATGCACAAGAAGTTGTGATGGTTTCCAAACATATCTTTGTTATCTCTAACTTGTTAATAGTATCTGGAAGAACCTTAAGAGGATTTGTATTTTGAGTCCACAAACATATCTATAGCCTGATCTTGTCCAGATGCAGCCTGAAGCTATCTGTTTATATCTCTCATTATTTAACAGTTATTTTTTCTTTTTCTGAAGGGTGTGTCAACAGCAAAAGAAGTTTATGAAGTTCTAAGCCACCGTGGGTGGCTGGAGTTTTTCCCACTGTTTGCAACAGTTCATGAGATCTGCATTGGCTCCCTTCCTCCGTCAGCCATAGTTGAGCACTTTGAGCGCAAACCTGAACTCTAGCTGGCTCTCTCCGATAAATGGCAGTTTATTCAATTAAACTCGTTTGCAAGAAAGCGAGGACTAGGTGAAACTTGGAATGTTGGTTCACACAGAAGTCAGCACTTTGCAACAATAGATGGTTGCAGGAACAAAATACATAACCTGCTCAGAAGCTATTTTCACTGACAGGAATGAAATTAGAATGTGTAATCAAATTGTACTCATGTTTCACGCAGAATGTGTAATCAACACCAAGTTGTAAACTGCTTTAGGGAAGATACGAGTAATACAATAAAGAACTAGAATGAACCATTTCTGGTATCACAATTTGAGAATGAGAGATTGAAATATTGATTGAAAGCTGATGGAGTTGAAAACGCAACGAGAGGACTTTGAGTTTCAGTCCAGCTTATTGGCGGGCCTGGACCGAGTTTACAACCTAAAGGATTAAACATCAGAAATTGCTCCAAATAGTCAATTGTCGTTTCCAAATCCAAACTAGTTTGCATCCTCCCTGAGTTTATCAGCCATCACGTTTGTAAACCCTAGTGGAGATGCGATGTAAAATTGGCTAGCACCGTTTGTGATTAAAAAAAAGACAGTCGGGCCTTCGTTATTGGTATTCCAAAAAATAACGGTGCTATAAAAAGACAGTCGTACCCTTGTTATTGGTATTCCAAAAAAGTTATTATGTACTCGGCACTCCAAAAAAGTTAGTAGAGAGCACAATGATAATAGCGATCGCTACTCATTGTCAATGGCATCAACTCCTGGCCTAAGGAGAATAGAAGATATCATCACAGTTTGGAGCGTAGTTTGTCATCTGCGACGTTTATGCCAATGCTTTTTTCAATTTGTAGTTTGTTTGTAGGTATAGTTTATGTCAATACATTACAATTGAGTAAGGTTTTCACTTTCCACTCTTTTGTAGTTCTGTTCCCTTCTGGTGAGAACCCAAGAGAGTGGATTGCATTCACATGAAAGAAGAAAACCATAATAAACCCAAACCCTTTCTCATTTCATGCAATAGTAGTTATACAACTGCCACAAATACAAATTACACAGCAAGAATACCATAAATTAGAAGAAAGAAAGACCCAAATAATTTTCCCACAACACCAAACCCAGGCTTTGAATTTTGCATATGGTTTTATAACAACGTTTACCCAGTTCGTATTCTATCCAACCGATCAACACTCTTCCGTGCTCTGTCCAGTTGGTGGTCAATACTTTTTCTGGACTTTTCATGGCAGTCCACGCTTCTCCGAGACCTTTCCATATGATCAAAAGATACTCTTAATTTTTCTAGTTTATCAGCACTAATGAATTGATTTTTCAGCTTTTCAGGCCTATCAGTGCTCTTCCTTGGTTTCTCTCTTCGATCTGTGCTCTTCCTTGAAACTTCGTAAACATCAGTACTCTTCCGAGGCTGCTCAAATTGGTCTGTGCTTCTCCTAGAATTGTACCTTTGGGAAGGAGACTTCTCAACAGTTGATATGAACTTCTTGAGATGCCTGATATACTCTGGATACAGCTCTAAATCACAGTGGTTCCCTCCTTTAAGCCATAGTGGTTCATACTTCTCTTTACATAGTTCCCACAGTTGCTTCCCATGAGAGCAATCAACTACTTCGTCTGCAGTTCCCTACAAAAAGATATAATGACGAACAAATGTGAAGATTTACGAATTAAACAAGGACGATTGCCATCTCACCCTAGATAACCCTTCAACGTGGCATTCCAGATGCGTGAGGATCAAAGAGATCCCTTATTCAACAGCAGCAATACTCTCTTTCGTAAAATTCCATTATTGAGCTAAGACATTTGTAGCCTAGGAAATAAACTGTTAAGAACTGCAGTGTTTTTCTCCGATCCGATGCATCAACAAAAAACTGTTGACAATTTGTTATCTGGCATGCAAACAAATTACTCTCCCAATAATCAGTAAAATTTCATCTCATCATGTCAACCTATAGAGACCTAAAGCAAATCAGAAGAATAAATTATCCTGCTGGATTATAAAATTGGCCATGTATTTGACCATCCAAAGAATAAATAATCTAAACTCTATATGGTATGGAACTTACAAAGCATGCAAAAGAAGCAAAACAAAAAAAAAGTCATTCTTATGCCAGTCTTTCATGCCTCGTACATCTATAAACCCAATACTGGCATACATTAATCATATAAGCAAATTACAAAGTAGAAAAATCTGGAGTAGCATACTTACATGAATGATGAGAACAGGACAATTGACCAGTGGAATTTTATCAATATTCTGCGCACAAATGACACCATAAAGCATACAATTAGATCAAGGTCATAAACTCGCCAACCAACCATAAGATAGGATAACCAAAATGAAAGTTATCTTACCTTATAAATGTCAAACCAGTATGTACGCTTTACAGGATACATGACCCTTAAACCAGATAGTATGGGACTATGCAGGACAACAGCTCTTAACTGAGGCAGCCGAGCAGCAAGATCCAATGTGGGGCCGCTTCCAACAGATTGGCCATAGAGAATGATATCTTCCTGCTTAGTACCATAGCTTTCTTCAAGACACTTATATGCAGCTTCAATATCGGCATATGTATTCTGCTCACTTGCCTGGAACAGAGAAAATACGGCTTTACACGATGCATTGTGCTCAACAACTAGTTAATACAAAAAGATAACTGTTCAAATAACAGACCTTTCCAGATGATTGCCCATACCCTGAATAGTCATACCTGAAAAAAATGCAGATATATATAAGGATCTTACCACCATTCTATTTTATTACTCAGGACTTGTAATTGTAACAATGTGAATACTCTTAATTATAATGACACATAACAGATAAATGATAAATCATGTAATGGAGAATTTATTTCTAAAAATCAAGGATGGTATAACTTGTCGAAAACAAAATTTAGAAGAAAGCTGGAACTACGGATGTGGTGATTGCTGGTATTAGACACTGGCATGGAAAGGCATCATGCAGCGTGAAGACTACACAATCAATTATGCACTTCAGGCACAAAGCTACACCAAACTGCAATCCTCACAGTATGAAAGGTGCTAGCAGTTACACAATCATCTCAAACTGGACTGTTCACTCTAAGCACGCAAAGGGGCTGGATAATTCAATCAATAGATCACAGAAATGGTAGATCAATGGACCGAACCACAGCATCATAACTAATTTCGATTTCATGAAATTAACGGGTATATCTAAGCATAAAAACCCCAGCTACATCGCACTTTATCCATAACTAAAAATCAAACCTTTATTTTAGAAGGATTCTACTAGAAGTCTCAAGAAAACTACTCCAAAATGCCTTTCAAGCTATTTTACCATAATTCCAGCTCACCACTTACAAGACATCCACTGTATAGCAAATCAATACGAAGAAACATTCAAATTACCATAAAATACCAGCGAAGTACAGCTGATCACTGGACTAATAAAACCCAGATGCCAAGAATAGTAAGCGAGTGACAAAAACGAACAAAAAGCTCCGAATTTAGAAAAACCCAGATGCCAACACTGACAAGTAAGTGAGAACAAAGAGCAAAAAGCTTGAAATCTGGAAGCCAATATTCCAAAAGTGGCAGAGAAAATAGGAGAAAGTATCAAAGAAAGAGGTAAACTTGGAAGAGAGAGAGAGTAGTAGAAGTAAACAGAGTACCCCATGAGATTGACGCGCAAGTGGATGCTCAATTCGATGAACAGCTCGTACATCTGGCCCAGATCGGCGGCGTTGCCATGAGAGTAAAGCAGAGTAGAAGTGGCCAAGGGGTGGCGAATGTAGATGGCCACTATCTCAGTGCCACGCCGAGTCGGCAATTTGAGAACCTCGACGTTTTCTCGGTGAGGGAATGGGCTGAGAAGCAAGAGACCAGTGTGGTCGTCTGTGATGAGCTTGTAGGATGGTGGGTTCGGTGGGAAAAAGGCGAACTTGGCCGCCATGGACGAGGTCACCCCACCCATCACTCTCTCTCTCTCTCTCTCTGAATTGCACTATCAGTCTCTCTCTCTCTCTCTCTCTCACTGTAATGGGGAAAAAGAATATTAATTTTGATTGGATTTTTATGTGGGAATTAAGCTCAGATCGACATTCCTTGCTGCTTTTTCCTTTTCTCCAGAAGATTAGACTTTATTCTTTTACGGCAAAAGAAAAAGAGAGACTCAATCAGAGAGAAGAGAAGTTGTTCTTGTCATCGTGGCTATTATAAATATATTATATGAGCTACTTCAAATGTATGTATATCATATATGTCTCCGTGTGCAGTTGAAGAGAGATGGAGCATAAAGAACTAGAGATAGAGAGAGAATGTGTCTACTTAGCAGAAAAAGAAGAAAAAAAAAAAAAAAAAAAAAAAAAGAGAGAGAGAGAGGTTTCACTGTGTTTTACAGTTTACTTGGTTTGATTTGAGATAGCAAAACAGTGTTATCCTTATCTCCGTGATTTACATGTTTTTATTGGGATGATAGGGTGAAAGCCTCACAGTCAGAGTGAGTCACACAGAGGGGATGGACCATGGGACCTCCTCCTCCTTTGCATGCATCATTTGTAGGGTCAGGGGAAATTGACAGAAGAAGTGCAGTTTGCAAAACCACTAACCACTAACCCCCCATGCACCCATGTGGATAAAGTTGCTTGTCGTTTCAATTTTTCACCATGAGCCGTTCCTGCCAATTCAACCAAAAAAAAACGAATGATTAAAGTGGATGATAAAAGATAAACCAATGTGAAAACCAATTAACATGCCCAAAAATCAGAACTAAAGCGAAGTCCACACATGAGGTTGGCGCAATAGTGCTTAGGATTCCTGGGAGAGGTAGCTTTCCCCAGCTAAGAGAGAATAAAAATGCATAAAAAGAGAGCCTGATAATTTGGAAATATCAGAATGAAAGTCCAACTTTGCTCTGGCTGAATCACATTATGAATTTGGGTGGGGATGGGGGATGATGCAAAATTCATGTCGACAAACAGTTCTCTAAAGAAGTTAGCTCTCATTCTTCATTCCGTCAAGGTTCTCTTAGAAAAAAGTTAGCTCTCAGTTAATCAGACTCTCTTAATAACATGCAGGATTCTTTAATGATAACCATATATGAAATGGACCCTTTGATGTAGCTAACTCTGGTGTCCTGAATTTGGGTTTTAATTAAGTTTATGTTAGTTTTCTTGGTGATAGACTTGAGAAACTTGAAGAGAAATGAAGGAAAGAATTGAAAAACACAGTTGAGTAGAATAGTGTTTTTACTTTTTTCCTTTCTTCCTTTCTTCCTTTTTAGGTGATACAGCAAACCCAAAAAGATTTCAAAAATTGTGAAAGGGTCTCTTCAGCTATGCAAAGCAACAAGGCATGCAAATTACAATACACCCCCATCCCCCTCACAGGTCACACTCACACCCACACCAGATATAAATCATATTGAATTGAAGTGACCAATACATAAGTCATATGATTGTTTGATTTTTTCATGCCCTGCCTGCCACAGATCCTAGTACTGGTATTTCAATTTGCCCATCTTCATGTAAACAGAGCAATATGGTGTAAGTTCATATCCAAAACCCTTTTGTCCCACCCAGAATGCCCAAACAGATATTCAACTCTCTCTCTCACCATTCCACAGATCCCAGTACTGGTATTTACCCATCTCCATAAACACAAGTGTAAATAAAAATGTTGCAAGATGATGTATGGGTTTTGTTGTGATTTCTTTATTTATTACAAAGTTGCAGAAAACAAAAAGGTTGCTCCTTTTAAGGTCGCATATAAAAAAAATGAAAATGCCAGCACTTCATAGCTAGCTAGCTAGCTAGGGATCCTCCTAAGCTCCTCCTGATGAAAAGAAAGTTTGCACATCACGTGCCAAATGGGTCAGTTGGTCAAAAACTAATAACGTTGTTTTCCTTGGTTTAACAACCAGCCAGGCAGCCACACCTTTAAGGCCAAATTTCAGGACTCAGCCAGCTTCGGGTCAACAAGACAAACACTAAAAATTGTAGGTGGAAAATGACTTAAGAACGACCAATATAACTACAATGAAATCAAATAGACGATCGACAGAGGAGAGAATGAAGCCAAAGGCAGAATAAAGCTGTATGTTTATGTCGTCTTGGGATCCATAATGATAATATCATCAAATCAAGCAAAGGAAAATGAAAACCTAGTGGTAGGGCTCACTCCCCTTTAAATATCTTTCTCCCTGTTATGGTGATGGGGTTGATGAGACATGTCTCTTTTAAGCAGCCGAGATTCCGTTAATGGCCTCTGAACATAAATTCCATATTTCTCCTCCTTGTTTTATAAAACAATGAAAGAACGAGTAATTATAGTGCAGTACAATAGTACTGTCATATGTTATAATATAAATGAATATACACGTGTACAAGTTATATCACGTGATCGTACTCCAATACCATTATATAATTTTTCAGAAATAACAATGTATAAGGGGATCAAAACTTGAAAACCTGGCTCAATCATCATCCTTAATATGAACTCTGTTTTCAAATAGTGTCATTTTTATGCACTATACGTACATAGAAAAACAAGGACCATACTCCAAACAAGGCAGAAAAACTTAAATTTTAAAATCAGGGGTTCCATCATCTGAACGCCAATTTCAGATGATATATGGCAGGATGGCCCAATAATTCTGAGGTTTAGTATGAGCGAGTCAATAATATAAGGGGATTGTCCCCTTTCTTAAGAACGGTGGGCACCACAGCAGTTGAACACATTCCCACATTGGCACATTACTTGAAATCTTGAATGATACATTTTGGTTTGGTTTGGATCGTCTTCAACTACACTACACATATTAATGAATGAAAAGGAATTAACTTTGTGCACGGGTTTGGATCCCACGTTTCCGGGTCATGTGTTTGAAGCCCAATTGGGCCAAAAATCCGAGCCAATGGGACCCAATTGATTGTCAGTTTGATATGGATTTGGGTTGAGCCCTTTTCATCAGTTGGCATGGTTTGGTTTGGGCTTTTGCAAAAACCTGTTGATTGAATTGAAGCCCATAGCTAACGGCTGCGATTGAGACGAAATACCGAGTACACAGAGAGCTTGGCTACTTCAGATACGTCTGTTCATGGTGATACAGAGAGAGCTCTCCTCTAATAATCTCTTTCAATTGGTTCACACACAAAGCAGAAGATGGACAACTGAACCTCACATCATTTGTAAAACTAAGGAAATGAGACAGAAAAGTTCAGATACAAGTTCTGTTATTGTACAGGAACATTTTTCTTCATTTATATTGCTGTACTGTCTAAACATGGTGTTTGACATTAGAATTGGTAAGCTAAGCTGCATGTATTCAAAACAAACACGAATAGGAATTCGACCAAATTCGTGTTTTCCAACACAGTCAATGATTTCTAAAACCATGCTAAACTATAAGGCAGGCAACATCTAGGCACTAATCCTTCCTTCTTGATCTTGCACAAGAATTAAGGCACCACCATCAATCATCAAAAGAAACAAAAAGGTAAAAACTTGCATCAACAGTTCACCATGAGAACTCAAACTCACAGTCTCTTGCAAGTTGCAAGCATCCTTTGATATCAGTTGTAGACATGAGCAATCTGGAATTGCAAAAGCATAGGCCTTTTGCTCATAAACATTTAGCTCTCATTCATAACCATAGTAATGAATTTCTACCCACATCCATTCTAAATTACTAGGTTGGTAACATCAGAATGTGTCCATGGCATGCATACATGAATCTATTTAAATAAGCTAAGTCAACAAAAGCATCAAAACTCGAATTACATGCTTAGTATTCGACGAGCAACAAATACCAATACAATACAAATCAGCTAAACAGCAACCAAACTTATGTAACAACAATGAGTAACCATGTTTAAGCTCTGAACAATATCTTTTATTATATCTGTCAAAAAACGCATTAAGTATAGGAAAAGCTTTTATCTTGCAAAATCCAATAGCACATTAAGCGAATTAGAAAGCCCGGCACAATGTCCCATCATCAAATCTCACCTAACAAAGAGACTAAGTCTGTCTCTGGAGACGCTTCCTCAGCTTCCTGTACTTGTGCTTGTTCATCTTCCTCTTCCTCTTCTTCTTCACACTATCGGCCCAGACCTTCCGCGAGTCATCAAACTCCACTTCTTCGGCCTCGGATGAGACCAACCCAGATGATGAAATCGGGTTTAAACAAATCCCAAATGGAAAGCTTGGGAAAATATGTGAGAAACCATAGGAGCCAAAGTTCTGTGTTTTAGGTACAACCAGCAATGGACTTAGATTTAGGATTTGATGTGGGTCGGGATTGGTTTGGTCGAGATTTGGTTGGTGAAGAATAAGATTTGGCGCTGCAGCGTTGTGTAAAGCATCGATTATTCTCGTGGGTTGTGATCTTCTAAGGACCCTTTGGATCGTTGAAGCCATTGAAGCCTTCGTAGCTGTACAGGGCTGTGGTGAATTGACTTCCCCTATGAAGGTCGGACCAAAAGAAAAAATAAAGAAAAACGACTTCCCCGGTGAAGAATGCTTGTTTGTCTACAGGGTTTTGCCTATTCTTATATGGGGTTTTGCCTCTAATGTAAGGACCCGAACTAGAGTTATGTTTGAGTTCGAATAGTGTGTTGATTGTAATTTTTGTTCTAATGTGAACTACTAAACTCTAAACTCGCTCTAAAATCAAAACACAAAATTTCAATGTTTTCATGTTAGAAATTAGATACACTAGTTTTTGCCTCAAATTCTTTTTGATATTGGATCGCTTCGTTATTGTAATAACTCTTTATGATTAGTTTGTAACTAATTTGTATCAACGCTAATGATTCTTTTGGTTGAATTATGAATACAATTTCATAATTTCTAAAATTAAAAAAAAGATACACTAGTTTTAGTTCCTTTTACCTGAATAGAGTGTATTATAAAAGATATATCATCATGTAACATTATAATATTCCTTCATAAGATACACTAGTATTAGTAACATGTTTCTCTTCATAATCAATTAGTTTTAATTTTTAATTGAATTTGCCTAATTCCTTATATTTGATTTTTTATATTATAGAATATTCCTTTTATTTAATTTAAAAGAATGAAAAATAATTTTTCAAGCCAGCACATATGGTCATGTGTATTATGTGACTAAATCATGTTACCATTCACTTTGACAAAATAAAACGTTTCTTACAAATAGCGTGCGTGTTGCACCCTTTTTTGATATGATTGAAAATATCATTTCTACTTAATTTTTTAAAATTTTGATCTAATTTATTTTTGTGTTTATGTCGTGGCAAGAAGGTCATTTATACTTTATTTATTTCAATTTTGATCCAATTTATTGGCATGTTGTAACGTAGAAAGTAATCATTAGATTTTTTTTTTTTCGAAAGTAATCATTAAAGCTTAGAGGCAGAGTTTTTAGTTTCGGATGATTTTTTTTGCACGGCTTAAAATTGGAAATCTAAAAGGCGGTCCGGTTCACGCTGGGCTTCGGTTCGACGACGTCGTTCGCTCTCAAAAATTCTCATCCAATTCTCTCTGGTTACCGGCTCTGCCAACGCGCCGATCATGTACGTAAGCGTCCCTCCCTCTCTATCTCTCTCTCCCTCTCCATCTCTCTCTCTCTCTCTCTCTCTCTCTCTCTCTCTTCCGCTCTGTAACATTTGTTTGATTATGCTTTCTTAGCTTCAGGCTCTGTTTGGTTTGCCTGAAAGCCAAGAAACAAAACGAAAGAAAAGATGGAAAATAAACTAAAAATTTGAACGTCGTCCTTTTGATTGGCTCAGTGTTGAAGGCGGTTTAAAACGTTGGAAATTTCATCTCCAATGACTGTAGTTTTCTTAGTTTCATTTTGCTAAATTTTCGGAGAAACCAAACGGAGCGCTAGGGTTTATGGAGATAATGCTAAATCGAATCTCTGATTTTTAACCTCTCTTGCGCTCTGAACTACGTAATCGCATACTTCTTATAGATTTGGTTTATTGTTCATGTGTTAGTGTTATCAAGATTGCGTCCTAAATCACCGTACTTCTTATACATTGGGTTTAGAGTTTATGTGTTTGTGTTTTATAAATGAGTGCATGCTAAATCGCCTCTCTTCTTCTAGATTGCGTTTAGGGTTTATGTGTTTACATGCTATTTGCCTTCTCGAGGTGCCTGTAGGATTCCAGGGAAACAAAAAATTTCTTCAAATGTATCAACGTATCTTATTTGTAGTGAATTTGGGAAGCTTGGGATAGTTCGTGGAGTTGTTTTATGCCTCTTTCGTTAGATAGTCTCCTTCCAAGACCAAAACAAAGAGATTAAGTTTGTAATAACTAATAACTTGCTATTTCATGTGTTCAATCAATGAAGAACATATTACACAAGTACATGTATCTATAGGTTGATAAAATAAGCTAACTCCTAATTCATTAATAGATTTCTAACATCTTCAGCAGTATAGTCTTATTGGCTCTTTCATTAAAAAATATTGATTTGACACATTTGGGTGTTGTTTGTGTTTTGTTATTATTACTTTATTCAAGATATGCTGATCAGGTTTTCCACACAGATATGAGGTGTTCGATTGAGAATCCTTATATCTGAAAGTCAATGCCCGGAAAGGTGCAAGGTGCCACATGTTGGTTACCTGGCAGATAAGAAAATTTGCTCAAGTAGAAGTGTTGTTTTGGCATAGCTGGTAAGGCATGATATTTGTCTTTTGAAATTTTAGTATGTTTTGTTTCAGATACTTTCTTCATTTGGCTATGAAAGGAAGAAGTTTCATTAGCTGCTCTTTGACTGACCAATGTTCTAATTATTTTCCATTTAGAAAATTTAGTATCATATGTTGTATAAATGTTGTTTCTTCTGTGGTGCAGCTGCATTTTTGTTGTTATGTCAGAAGCTACGAAGGATCTTGTTGGTTCGAGTGAACATGATAAAATAGGACCAGACTTCTTTGGTTACTATACACGTTTAGTTACAGAGTTGTTATCACAAGAAGAAGATTTTCCACCTTTTGCTTCCCAATCCTCTGATCTATCTCAAAGAAGAAGTGGGGATGTTAGAGGGAAGGATGTTATTGAGCACAGTTATGGTACTTCTGGTTCTTTATTTGGTAACAGCATAGGAACTGGGCTTTCAGATTTCAAAAAGGAAAGATTGAAATCATTGCTCAGGCAGGGTGTGAATTTTCTTTCACCAGAAGTTGATGAGGTATGTAGGGATGATGCCTACTTCCCCTTTTGTTTTTAAATGGGTGCTTCAAACAAAGTCAAGAATGGTTATATGCATTCATGATTTTGAATTATATGAAATGAATCTGGTTGTACTTGGATACTTTTTAAACAATCAATAAATATGTCATGATATTGAGTCGCCCTTTAGTTGTATGATGTCGTGGTACTTTACTGTAATGTAATTGAAAATGTTGCTTTCACATTAGCGGTACTAAGTGTTGCTTCACATTTCGTATGGATGATGTGATACTTGATAATATTCAACAATTGTTGATTTGATACCATATGGGTTCACATTTGAGGCCCTATGTTTAACCAAGCCTGTGAGATAAAAATGCTTATTTAGAATCTGTACTTGTAATAACCATATGTGTAAATGCAGATGCTAGAACCTGTTGTTGCTATCAGCCGGTTAAAATCTCAGCTAAAGAGCAGAAACTGTCTATCGTCTTCTAAAGGTACATTACCTGACATTGATGCAAGGAATGCTCACTCTAAGAGACCAAAGAGATCTTCTTCTTTTTCTTCAACCAGTCTCCCTGCACTTTCCACTCCTACCAATCTCGAGTCTAGCAAAGAGGTTATATTTCATTTGTTGCATTGTCATTCTTATCAAGTTTCAGGTTTTCTGCATTGTTGTTGATCTAACCCTTTTCTATTTTAATGGATTGAAAATGTGTAGTTAAAAGAGAAATTTTTGTGAATATGCTTGATAAAGGTGGCCATTTTCCTTTAATTTGTCAGATTTGCATATATTTTTTATGCTCAGAATTGGCTAACATTTAGACTTCTTAGGGGATGTGATACCTCCCACAAATATTTTTATTTCTAAAGCTTTATGTTTTTGTTGCGTTTACTCTGAAGTAAGATCTTTTATGTTTTAGTTAATGCAGAAGATTTTTCTTCTCTCTTTTCTTATAACATTTTTCAATAGGACAAAGCAGTTGTAATACCAATTGCCTTTTCTTTTGTGTTGCATAACCCAAGCTTTGCAGCCACTGGGTTTTGTAATGGTTCATATCATGTAGAAATTTATGGTTGAACTTTTCTAATGTTGTTTAGAACTGTGCTCATGGCCTCACAACAGAAACAGCTAGGTTGATAGCTGTTCCGGAGGAGCCAAAGGTGATTAACATTCTCCTTACTGCCCCTCTATTTGTGGGGTTGTGTCACATCCAAAAGGTTGCACTTGCCCACCCTTCCAAACACGCCCTGATTTTTTTGGTTTTGGGTCTTTATTTTTTTCTTACTTTGTAATACTTGCAAACTTGTTTAACTGAAGAAAGGAGGAGAAAGTAGGATGTTTAGGCAAGTTTTTTGTGTGTGTGTGTGTGTGGGTGGGTGTGTTGTGTAGCAATTTATGCATGATGTTGGCAACTTACTTATGGGTGGGTTTATCATAATTCAACTCTTCAGGTTGACGATGATTTGCAGTTCCTTATAGAGAAGGATAGCTTGCAGGTTGAGGAGACACTGAAGAAATATTCTGATGAATTTTCTGCAACAGTAATTCTCTGAAATTTTTTCTTTGCCAGTACTGCAAAGCCTGATCAAACTCCCTTTTCTCAAATATATGGTTATATCATAACTCTCATCAGGAATATGAAGTTTATCTTTCCAATGTTTGATGCATTACGATGATTTATATCTGAACTGAATTTATGTCTGTTTTTCAGTTAGGGCACATGGAACAGCAGCTTGAAAAACTTCTTGATACTGTGATGGCTTCGTGCAGGTAGTTGTTAATAATTTGCTCTCTATAGTTGATATTTCTCAGCCACAATAGCATTCAATTCTACATATCCATTGGAAACTTTGGGCCTCATAGGATCTAATGTTTCTTGATAAATTGTTAAATAAGTGAAAATTCAGCATTGAATTTCTGATGTAGATCTCAACAAAGCACTATTGACCTGCTTAGGTCATACATTGCTCCCTCTCTCTCTCTTGTAACTGTGAACTTTTCAGGCCTATGACCCTTCCTGAGAAACACAAGCTTGGAAAATTGATTCAGAAGTTACCACCAAAAAATCTTGACTGTGTTGCAGAAATGCTCCAACATAGGAACGCAGCTTGTACAAATTCCTCTGAAGAAATTCATGTGGATCTTGAAAAACAGGTAAGAAGATGCAAAATTACCTGGTTTGTGAACTAATTAGAATTTCAACTCGTTTCTAAAGTTGTATCTTTTACTTGCAGAGTAATGTAACACTTTGGAGATTGTATTATTATGTTGAAGCAGTTGAGAAAGCTAGAAAGCTAGCCAAGTAGCTTAATTTGAAAAAAGCTCTAATACGCCTATATGAAACCAACGGAAGTTCGCTGTACCAGGGCTGAAATTTTCTTTTGCCAAACGAAGATAGTAGTCATCAGTAGTACCCAAAAAGGAAAAAAGGGAGATAGCAGTCATCAGGCTTTCTTTCTCACTGCTTCAACAAGTAATTTCTGCCCCATCTGCACACTTCGAGTCTTTTGTAGAAATCCTCCACTAGACCACAGAATTTTGGTAAAAATACACAAAATTGAGCATCTAATCTTGACCAGTAAATTTGATGATTTTGACCGTTATGGCCCAGAAGTGCAAAATTTTTGGAGCACCTCAAAAGTTCAGACGAATGCGAGATGAAGTTTTTGATATAAATTTTTTCATTTGTAATTTGGCTTCATTCTCTGCATAATATGGGGGTTGGAATCGCACATTGTACATCTTTTACTGTATACTGAGTACAGAAAGTTACGAAATTCAAGCTTATGGAATTCTTTGTAAACTTCTATCACGATCCTCTTGAGTTAAATATAAGAACAGCATAAGCCAGTTTGTCTCAAATGTCCCTTTTGTTGAGACTTAAATTAAGCCTAATTTTCCCCTTTTTCTAACAGGAAGCTTTAAAAAGTTCATTTGTGGACATTTGCAGACTTTTTTAGTTTTTTGGGTCAATACAGACTTTCATTTCTGTATTGTTTTCATACATTTGTCAATGAAAAATACTTCCCTCTTTACCACGTAAGTAGGAACTCCTACATTCCTACCACTAGCAGTGTGGCGTGTGCATAAATTTTTCCTTTTGTGTTTTTGATGAATTATTTTTGCACATGTGAATGTTATGAGATGAGAAGGAGACGTAAATGTAATCACATGAGAAGGAGAACTGCATTCGATTGATACAATGTAACAAAGATGAAACAGGACATACTGTTGTCAACATGCTAGAAGATACACAAGGCAGAATAATAACCTATCTGTAAAAACTTTAAATCCCTAAAAGAAAATATCTCGTCGAAGAAGGGAAATATAAGAAGATGGGGGCAAAAGTTGAAGAATGCTAGGACCCTCTCCAAAAGCTAAGCACCAATCTGCTCATATAAAATATTGAATAATTATCTTCTTAAATAGAAAATGAGCCACGCCTTGGTCGCTCTTCAGCAACATTTACTCGGATTGATCTGCCATCCAAACTCTGCACAGCCAATGTAGAACAAAATGAGGGTCTTTGTTAATTAATAGAAAGGCACCAAGATAACAACAATACACAATTAGTTGTAAGGTGACTTCATTTGAGTCTAAAACACAAAAACGAATGACTAAATCAAACATGAGAACTTCGTGGCTCTTTCCTTTTATGAATTGTGGGATTGAGTCCAAGTCAATTGGCAGAGATCCATGACTCAATTGTCTCAAACGTGTTCAGATGTTGCATACAAGTGGACAGGCCAAAGAAATAGACAAGACTCCACAAATGATATATACTAGACCAATATTCGGAAATAGAGTTAATCTGTTGCAGAATTATGAATCCCTAATGGTCTGAGTAACATCCGAAAACCTAATGGATTGAGTAATATCCTAGAAACTAAAGTAGTTATCAGTTTCTTGGCATACTCTAAATTGGCAGAAAGATAATATTTCAACACTCATGAAACAAAGGCAAGTCTATACCTGTCCATCAAGAGCAGCAATGGCATCATCCACTTCTGTCTCACTAGAAAACGTAACAAAACCAAACCCGCGTGAGCGCCCTGTTTCCCGGTCATATACTACCCTGGCACTGACCACCTTTCCATGTTCACTGAAAACCTGCTCCAAACGAGAATCATCAACTTGCCATGGCAGGTTACCAACATAGATTCTGAAAGAGGGTTCATTCACTCGAGGAGGTCTTTCAGGACGTGACCCTCTAGGAGCAGCCTTGTTTACAGTCAAAAGTCTTCCACCTATATCCTGTGTAAGAACAAATGTAACTTTAAAACACTCCTCAATTTATATGAGTTTGAAATTTAACAAGTTTTCTCATTGCATTTGGGAGGAAAGATTTATTAAAAGATGCATGGAATGAAGAAATTAAATCAACGTAATGCCACTTCGTAATTGGACCCAAATGTATCAAGATGCATGTTTTTTGCTACATTTATACTTCTTTTAAGTTCAGAATGTTGACAATGAATTAGTTTATTCTTTTTTTAATTGTACTGGAAAAGAAAAAAGAACGATAATTAACAAAGGAATTTGCAACTTACATAACGGTGGAACAACTGTACAGCCTTCTCAGCTTCTTCAACAGTACTCATAGTCACAAACCCAAAACCTCTACTCTGATCTGTTTCCCTATTGTAGATCACCTAGTAATTGCAAAGAGAAAACACAATACCATGTGACAATAATTCCAATGCTGCAATTTTAACTGCGAAGCATACACAGAGCATCAAAGACACTAAATTTACCTCAGCAATCTCAACAACCCCAGCCTCGTTGAAGATATGAGCAAGTTTCTCACTATCAACATCGTAAGGCAAATTACCCACATAGAGCTTGGCCTCTTCGGGTGGTTCGGGATAGTATTCTTCTTCACCAACCGCTAAAACTCCGTCTCCAGAACTCTCTTCCCCATCAGATAAAGCACTTGCCTCTACCCCCTCCTCTGTTTCCTCGACCCCTTCACTCTCAAAACCCGAACCCTCTTCTTTTACTTCTTCTTCTTGAGCCCAGTCCGAGGTCTGAGCCACATGCAGAGGTAAAGACTTGTGCTTGAGAGAGACCCATGAAGGGAGAGAAGGCGTAAATGAGCATGAGACGGCTGAGAGCTTGGTGGGTTTTGAAGGAAGTGAAAGAATTGGGTATTGGTTTTTGGGGGCGAAGAGGGCTGGCACAGAGGGTAGGCAACTTTCGGCTATTGATATTGGCTTCAAAAAAGCGGCGGTTGCAGAAGACATGGTTGGAGGAAGGTAGAGAGAGGAGGGGAAGAGAGAGATATAGAGAGATGGAGAGAGGATAAGGAATGAGAGAAGGGTTTGTTCTGGTTACATTAGTGCAGGATGGTCCAAAGGTTTGCAGGTGGAGATATTTTTTATTTTTATGAGGAAAACAAAGCTGCAAACGAAACGTTTCGGTAGGTAAATATTAGAAACGTACCCAAATGCCAAAAGGCCCAAAACATACAAGTAGAGAAGCTGGATACACAGTCATAGCAAACATTGTGACCCAAAGCTGCCTTTCTAAAATTTACCACCCATACAAACTTGGACTCAACTCTTTTTTTTAATTTTTTTAATTTTATTTTATACAACGAATGTAAAGTAATGACTGTCTTGACCAACTGTCCTAACCTGCGTGTTCCAACTCAAAACTTTTTTTGTAACCCATTTTTCTGTAACGTCCCCGGCAAGTTGCCACAATAAAGAAATTGTGACGTGGCTGGCCGGCTGATCTAGTCCATTCCTTACTAAAATCCAGCTTGCAGTTTCATGTATGCCATAATCACCAATTACCAATTTTTAATTGGACTGCAAAATGAGTTTGTAGAAGTATAATTTCAACTCAAAAAGACATTCAACTTGGCAACCTACTCTGCTCCATTTTCAAATCTTACTTTTCTACTTGATGAAGGATTTGAGAGCACTCTGCCAGTGGTGGTGTTCATTTTTGTATTTCTAACATCATAGCCTGACAGACAGGGAATAGAAACCCTCACAATTACAAGAATTGAAAGGACAAACAGAGTCCAACGTCTGCATACTGCATGCTTCATTTGGGAACAGAGTAAGAGTTTGAAGTTCTGGTAAGCTATTGTTCATTCATATACAGGCTTGAAGTTCTTGTAAGCTATCACTGCATAAAAGGGATCCGACCCGGATAGCAATCCCAGCAAACCCATGACCCAACTGAATGGTGATTTATTTTGTGGACTACCACCACCACCACCACCATTAGGGTCTGGTAATTTCTTAATTATTTCAGCTTGCGTGAACCCTTCCACAGATTGAAAGTATTGCACAACCAATTGTGTTCTGCTGTATGCACTCCCATCTCTCCATGCGCCTATGGCTTTCTCATAGAACAATCGATTGCTAAAGCTCACAATAAACACCCCTCCTGGCCTTAGAACCCTAAACACCTCTGCAAACACCTGCATCACAATGTCCACTCAATTGGGTAATTTATTTACAAATTAAATAAAGGTTTTGATTAATGTAACAAAGGTAAGGGCTCGTTTGAGGCTCCTTTTTTGGGTTACTTCTGCTCATAAGTGCTTATAACAAAAGTGTTTTTATTATATTAAGTTGAAATTTTCATTAGAAATCCCAAGTGTTTCTTGAAGAAGTACTAACATGTACTTCTCCATAAAGTGCTTTTATGACCCAAACACATTAGGACCTTTGTTTGTTAGAAAGCGCTTTTAGGCCTTGTAGAAACACACTCAAACATGCCCTAAATTAACAGTACCATCTAACCTTCTCAGGCTGTTGAAGATACTGCACACTGACTGTGCACAAAACTGCATCAAAACTGGAGCTCTCCAACTCCAGCTTCTGATCCTGGTTCAGATCCTTGACAAAGAAATAGTCCAGCCTTGGGTTCTTGGCAAGTTCTTGTGCATTGAGTCCATGCCCAACCACTTTTTTGTACTCAACCTCTTCTGGTAAATGGCTGACCCATGAACTCATAAGATCAAGAATCTCTGAGTTTGGCCTCAACTTTTGTTTGTAGAGATTGGTTAATGTGGAAATGAAGCCATCATCAACATGGGTCACAAAGCGTGGATAAGCGTAGAAATCTCTGTCCGGGTAAGTGTTGAGTTTTGTTCTGCCCTCTTGGGGAAGAACAAGACGTTTGATTTTTCCTGCTGAGGACAGAGATTGCTTGGTTTCATTGTTTTCACTTGAAGTGCATAAAATTCTTGATGATGGAAGCGGCAGAGCTTTGGTCTTGAACTGAGGAGAGAGTGAGGTCTGTGGGTTGCTTGTAAATTTGTGAGAAATGGATGCCATGGCTTGAGATATGGATGAATTGTTTGTGGCCATTGCTTTGAATTTATGAAGATTTTAACATATGGGACTTGCTATGTGCCAAAACCAGGCATTCATGTGTGCATATGTAGTGGTAATTCCCAATTTGGGCCATGAATCTCTGTTGATGAGCCAACTTGTTCATCGTCCCTTGATCTGTCTTCTATTGGGTCGTGTGTTCTTCTTCCAATGGACTAAGAATACGTGAGAAAGCCCAATTTTTTATTTTATTTGTTTCATTATCTGTTAATATTTTTCCTTCAATTTTTTTTTCCTGGTGATAATGGAGTGGAAAAGCCCTACCTACCAATGTCTCTTCTTTCATTTTTTAATAAAAAAAATAATGATTTTGTTCATATTTAGCAGGCCCCAAATAAAAAGACAAGAATAATAATGAGTTGTCTGCTCAAATCCTCAAACGTGCAATGAGGTTTGTTTATATAATTACTACATCAAGAAAGTTCATCTTTCCGAAAGGGTGCCCTGAAAGATTAGACACAAAACAAATTATATGTAAACTTCATCCGGAGACTATTGTTTTTACACAAGTAATATTAAGGAAGGAGAGAATCGAACCTAGAACATCGGATGCATGAATAAATGCTTTTAACTATATGAGCTAGAAGCCCCTTGCCATTCGAAAAAAACATCTTGAATTCATTTCCCCCTTTCCTGATCACTGTAACTAAGACAACAACAGCAAAGTAATTAGCCATGATTGCAATGCTAACTGATATCCAGCTATTAATTAGGGTTTCTAGATGCCATTGCCAACCACCCAATTGATTAGGGGGTCCCAAATCCATTGCACGTGCACCATGCACACTCTAAAGGCCAGACAAACTGCATTGCTCTTTGCCTCCCTCTAGTTCCTTCGTGTTGCTTCTTATGAGGGTCCGTACCGCCTTTTCTTCTCCTAAAACCCACCTAAAGCCGAAAAATAAGTATCATTTTTTAGGTCTTGTTAAAATGGGTATGATTACAAAAGGCAAATAGTCACAAATTTGGTCGGCTTTCTACTCCAAACATCCATATCAAACCCCTTAAAGCAAACCCAACTTATTCAAAAATTTCAAGCTTTTGTTGTCTACATATACATGGTGTGTCTCTCATTGTTTTTCCTTTAGGGAACCTATACCCATTTTTTATACTCTTCAAGTCTTTCATTATAGTTGGTTCCACAAGCTAGTGTTTGTTTGTAGCAAGCTCAAGTAAGTAAAGATACACAGAAATTCTTCAAAGACAGAGGGTCACATGGAAGAGTTTTTGAGTTTGTTTTGTAGGGAGGGAGGGCATGATTATTTAGGTTGAGGAATGTTTGACATTTGAAAAGCAGTTATATATTATAATTGTCTATCTTGTTAATTCACATTTTAGAAGACACTGTCATGATTAGTAAGCAAGCAAGCACCACCACCACACCTCTCTTTTTTTTTCTTTTCTTTTTTCGGGAGACTCTTTGGTTCCGTTCGTAATCGATTAGGAAACCCCCTTTTAGAAAGGGGCAAACCAAATGAACAAAACCGATTTCTTACCTTCCATGAGCATTAAGTTTATAGAAATCTAGAACTTAGTGCTGTTGATATGTTACCAATTCAGAACGGTTAATTGATGGTGTGGAAGTGGTCGATCGCACACACTTAACCATGCGTGGAGAATAGGAATTTTTCCTTAACATTTGTCATAGTCAAGCAATTGGTTCTCAGCAAAGGAAAAACTACTCCAATGTCCAAACTAGTAAAGGGAAGCTTCTAATACAAAGAATTTTTTTTAAAAAGGGGGTTCCAAATCCTATGCGCGGGCTTAATTAGAAGAAAACGAGCAGAATCGGAAAGACAGATGCTATCGGATTTGGTCATTAAATAATTTGCATATAAACCGTAAAACGAAGAACCTGACTGGAATAAAAGGTCCTATATATATATGTAAGGTGTGAGGGGTTAGAGTCACAAGTCAAATACTTTTGTTTAGAAAAAGAGAACAAATCAAACATCATGGTTGGTTTAGCACCTATTTTATTTGCTCTCCTGCTAGGAGGACTACCCATATTGTTGGCTTGTATTCTTGTGAAAAAGTTCTCTGCAACACATGATCATCAAAATCCTGCTAAAAACTTGCCTCCTGGAAGCATGGGGTGGCCTTGGTTTGGAGAGACCATTGACTTCCTTAAGCCTCATTATACTTACTCTGTGGGAAGCTTCTTGCAACAGCATTGCTCTAGGTGATCAATATTCTTCATTAATTTACAAAGTTTATTGATAATTAATTAAATTAATTTCATTCATAGTTTTTTGATATGGTTTACTTGTGGTCATTTATGCAGATATGGGAAGGTTTTTAAATCGCATCTATTTGGTTCACCAACCATAGTTTCATGTGACCTCGAGCTCAACATGTTTATTCTTCAGAATGAAGAGAAGCTATTCCAAGCCAGCTACCCCAAGGCCATCCATGGCATTCTTGGAAAGCATTCGTTACTCACCATATCCGGAGAGCTTCATAGAAAGCTTAGAAGCATTGCTGTCAGCTTCATTGCCAACTCTAAGTCGGCCCCCGATTTCCTTCACTGGGTTCAGAAGCTGTCAATCTCAATGATGGATTCATGGAATGGCTGCAAACAAGTATCCTTCTACAAACAAGCTAAAGCTGTATGTACAACTCAGCCTTAATCTTCTTCTTAACCTGCTTCAACTATATTAGAAGTTTGATAATGCCTGACTCTGCCTGCCTGCATTTTGTGATTCAATTCAAACACACAGTTTACACTGAGTCTTATGGTGAAGCACCTTCTAAGTGTTAAACCAGAGGAGCCAGTAGCCTCGAGGATATTGCAAGACTTCGAAACCTACATGACAGGCTTTGTTTCTCTACCAGTAAATATCCCTGGGACAGCTTATGCCAAAGCTGTGAAGGTAATTAAAGCACCTACCTACGACATAGTATGCATATATAGGGTAATCATATTCGTTTGTCGCACTAACGTTAACGCGGTCAACCGTTTAAATTCACAATTTGACAACATAAGCATTGCATGCCTCTCCTCCTCCATATAAACATTATAATGACCTTTTTCTTCAGGCTAGAGTAAGGCTGTCTTCCACTGTCAAAGAGATTATGGAAGAAAGAAGAAAAGGGAATGTTAATAGAAACACAGAGGACTTCTTGGATGTGATATTATCAAAACAGAGCCTAAACGATGAAGAAATAGTGAGCATTGTGTTGGACATAATGTTAGGAGGCTACGAGACAACCGCTACTCTTATGTCCTTGATTGTCTACTTTCTTGCCCATGCGCCTATTGCTTTCCGCAAGTTAAAGGTAAACCAAACCCCTGTCCCCCTCAACTTCTCTCTCTCTCTTTCTCTTTCTCTCTCTCTCTACATGCATAAGTCAGTGTATATGGCTGATATATACACACGTATCTTGTCCAAAATCTCTGCAGGAAGAACACCAGAGCATAAGGCAAAACAAAAAAGATGGGGAATTCTTGAACTGGGAAGATTACAAGAAAATGGATTTTTCCCACTATGTAATAATTTTCTTTCAAAGTTAGATGTTCTGTTCTGCTAGTTAATTATACTGTGTGTATATATATATATATTATATGGAAAATTGAAGGACTGAAAAAATCTGCAGGTTATATATGAAGCTATGAGATGTGGGAATGTAGTCAAATTTGTGCACAGAAAAGCTCTTGTCGACGTGAAATTTAAAGGTTAATTATTTTGTCTTTCTATTGCTTAATTAATTAAGTGACATAATGATCAAGATGTTTATTAACTATTGGATTATTGTTGGTGCAGAGTTTGTCATACCATCAGGATGGAAGGTTCTTCCAATCTTTTCTGGGGCGCATTTGGATCAAGCTCTTCACGAAAATCCCGCGGAGTTTGATCCTTGGAGATGGGCAGTATGTAGCTTCTGATTTTAATTTTTTGAATATCAATGATGACAAATGTTTGAGATTTATTTATTTAATTATTTGTTTATATATGCAGGAAGATTACAAAGAAATGAGCAAAAAAGTGACAGTGTTTGGTGGTGGAGTGAGGCTCTGTCCGGGAGCAGAACTGGCTAAAGTAGTGATTGCATTCTTCCTTCATCATCTTGTCCTTAGTTATAGGTAACTTTTAATTTAATTTAATTTAATTTCCATGATCATGTTGTCTAATGTTTGATTATAATTATTAATTTCTGCTGCATGCACTTGCTGCACCAGATGGAAAACAAAACCAGATGAGTCTCCACTTGCTTACCCTTTCGTGCAATTCCGGAGAGGCTTGCAATTAGAGATTGAGCCAGCTGATGCGGCAGCTGCCTGAAACGACAAAGTAACCCCCCCTTGCAAATGATCTTTCTCTTTAATGGACTCATCTGAATGTACAAGGAAAGAACAAAAAAGGTCAATGCAATAGTTGTAAAATAAATCCCACCAAACCAAAGGCAGGCAGGCAGGCACTAATAATAGCTTAAAGTCTAATACAAACAAGGTTGTGATTATGTGATTGATCTTTCTTTTTATGTAATTTCATTTCATATTATTCAAAAAGAAATCTAGTTTTGCATATATTCTCTACATTTTTTTTAAAATACAATTGCTAGTTTCCTTATTTACCTCAAAGGGTAAAACCGACACAACAAAAAAAGTAATAAATATCAAATGACTTACATCTAAAACAAAAAACGCATGGACTAAACCTAGTAGTAGCTAATCAATGGTGGAGCCACTCCTAAGCCTGGAGTGGCCCTGGCCCCCCAGTTTTTTTTATCTCTCATTTATTATATTATATATAATATATAGAATTTGTAATAAACTACTTAAAATTTAAGTTAAAGTTCCCTCTAAAACAAATTAGATATAACTAAATTAGAAATATTTAGCTCTAAACATGTAATTATTGAATACTTAGGTATTTTATACTTTCAGCCCCCTTAACTTTACAATTCTAGCTCTGCCCCGACAGCCAATCATTTTGGACCTAAATCTAGAAGCCATTTTTACTTAAACTATAAGA